CCATCGACAGCCTCGCCAGGGGTAGAATTCCACCGCACCTGATACCCTTAAGCCTCGTGAAAACCGTGCTGGCGTCCGCCATCACCACGCCACGAGTACAAATACACCTTTCCTACTCTCTGGGTAGTGCCATCCCTCTCTGCGCCGACTACAAGCAGAGAAGTTGGGGGGTTTTCTCTTGAACTTGCCCATCATAGAGTCAAGCCGAATCTACCAGCTCAAGAACATTGTCAAGGTCAGATTTTGAAAAGTAACATTCACATCAAGATCCACACGCCGGACGGGGTTGACTGCAACGACGGCAACACAAAGCCGTCCTAAGCTCCGAACCCGTACGTGTGCACATTGACCAAAGAAATTCACTATCTCTGCCCTAACAAGCCTCTCCTCAGAGACAACACTGACGGAATCTGCGGGCTGCAGATCAGCGACACCCGCTGCCCTGCCGAAGCCAAGCTACGCACTCAAGGCATCAAGACCCAAGCAGAGAGTGTAAGTGACAGGCGGCTCGCTAACACTCCTGTGCGCACAGCTGCACTCACTTACGACCAGAATGACACCGACACCTGTGTCACCTCGCTCCACTAGAGCCTGTGAATCCAAGCACCGGAAAGTGCCATCCTTCACCTTGATGACCTGGCATGGTACCATCTTCCATGCAAAGAGTACAAATTAAAACTGGAAATCCCATCCTTCTCCAGGTACCACACTTTCACCCTAACTCCATAACGGGAGTTGTGGTTTGCGAAAGGGGGGGTGATCCCAGCTAATTGACATTGCTCCTATCGACACAGCTCTCCAAGCTTTGTCTCGACTACCCATTCTGACTACCTCACCTGTTGTCCAAGCCTGGACCGCAGCCGACACTGCACGGTGTACCTCTATGGTAGTCAGACACGCCCTGACACTGGGCTTGACCTTCATCCTATACAGGAGACTCAACGAGATACAAACATCTTCAGCCAAGCTCACGAAAGGTTTCGGACGAAACCCGCAAAAAGGGGGTGCCAAGTCAGAGACCAGGCCAGAGGCAGCTTCGAACCTCATAGAGCTGAATCCTCAGCCCTAATAACCACCTGCTGCATGAGTCATGATTCACCTGCCATCCGTCCATTGTGATGATTGTTGTCCGATTAAGTCCACACAGGGACTTCATCAGACAAAAAGGGGGACTGTAAGGACTGGGCTAAAAGGGTGAATCTGAATAACTAAATACATCCTGCTAAAGACCCAAAAAGACTGAATGCAACACACACACACACACTCTCTCTCTCAGGAATGGCCAGAGTCATAAAATGCTTGAAACATTCCATGCCCCCTCCCCCATCTCTGCAAGAGAGATAACAGAACTCTAACACACACACACATAATGGACCTTTACATTACACGCATAAAACGAGCCATTACCAATTGTATACGATATATTCCTGTATGTCTGTGTGTTTCCCAGTCCATGGTAGTTTAGAAATGATCTCCTAGCGTATCAGTGAAACTCTTGAGAGTTTAAAAGTTATGTATTAAGATGTATCTTCATATTCCAATTATGTGTAAATGTTGTGTTTGGTACCGTTTTAATTATCTCGTTCCAACTGATTTGGTCAGATACAGAAGATTACAGTAAAATGTATGTTTTCTATGTTTTTATCATCTTGTGGAATGATTCTGACAAATTCTGACTGGTCATAAAAGAGGCGGACACGGCCATAGTTTAACTTTGACAAGACAAAGAGAATTTGGCCGCCAAAAGTTTCGTTGAATGTCATTGGCCAGTTCGCACCTCAGAGGTGTGGACTCCAGTTCCTCTAAAGAGGACTGAACCTCCCTCTAGACTCTCTCTTGCAGTCTGACCTTCTCAGAGAAACATGTGATGCTAGCGATCTCCTCATGGAGATCTGATCCCACCATGGATCTTTTCTTTTGTTCGTCTAAAGTTCGTCTCTTCTTTAACTTACTCCCGAGTTCGTCTCCCAGGAAAGGAAATGGACTTTGCCGAACTATTTCCTCGGGTAACGTCACCTCAAAGACTTTAAGCCTTTCAAACACTCGCGCCGAATGCCAACGAACGCCACGTGATCCCCCATGGAACAAAGGGGCCACGCGCAAGCGGCCAACCATGCACGCGCCGGGACGGGCCGTGCAAAAACGCTGCGGCGCGACACGACGCGCGCAAGCAGGGCGCGCGCGCGCAAAACGCTGCGGCTCCACACGACGCGCGCAAGCAGGACAGGACCTTCGTTCAACATGCGGGCCGACCGGACCGCGCAAGGAGCCCGCGACACACACAGACCTCATATGCTTTGCAAGTATCATTCCCGTTACAGCTTCTAAGAAGCCTTACAATGGTGTTTTCGTGTTGTTTCAGAAAGGTTGATGTCGAGGTGAAATTGTACCAGCTCTGTCTCTCTCCCTCGCTCTCTCACCAACTCTCTCACCAACACTCTCACCAACTCTCTCACCAACTTTCTCCCTTTCTCTCTCTCTCTCCAACTCATGTTTACATGGGTACCAATTGTCTAAACGCCCCGCGTCGTCTTAGTTTGTGTTTAATGTTTGTAAATACATGTATCATTGTAGTAAATGCTTAAGTAGTTCAGCTTCATTAAATACATTATATCCTTTTGATTGACTCATTGCCTGTTGCTCATAACCCAAGTCACTGATATGCTTCGATAACGTTACGAGCTCTTTACAGAAATACCTCAGACGGGTATGTGTAAACTTTATAGAGCAAGAAAACTAATTCTTGTGGCCACAGAATTTGTTTTCACAACTCTATAAATTAATTGAGCTAATTAATTTTACCTGTCTTGTAAAACGTGGTCTGTATAATTAGTTACAATTCATTTGTGATTAATTGTGGGGATACACATGTATGCACGCAGGTAAAATGACAAAGCCTCCCTTAATGGGAGATTTATTAACATGTAAGACTGGGCTGATCCAAATCTGTATGAATAATTATTAGTTATTAATTATTAATTATGACATGCAAATTCCCCATTGATCAGACCCAAGAAGAGTCTTTACAGGTTTTATTTTACTATGCGAAAAATAAATGCATAGAAAAACAAAAACCTCACAGGAAAAAAGCATACATAATTCTGAATGTTCCGATCCAATTTGACTTCTGACCTGTCACCTGATGGAAATTTGGTTCCTTGCCACTGTCGCATCTGGCTTGTTTAGCTAGGGACACTTAATGTTCAACAATATTATTGATCTGCCTGCATTGACACCATTATATGAGAACTGAGCTATGCAGGGCGATGACATCACTGTTTTCTCCAGAGTGGCTGTATAGATAAATGTACTTAATTTTACAACAGAAATGAACTTTTTCAGATCACTGAAATTACTTAAGCTGGACTATGACAGTATTGTCCTCTAGATCTGCTGTACAGCAGAAACAAACTTTGTTGCATTATTATCCTGTTATCTCTGTAAAGCTGCTTTGAAATAATATGTATTGTAAAACACGCTATATAAATAAAGGTGACTTGACTTGCATGTGTTCATAATTTCTTTGTATGACAGTCTGGCCAAAAATTATGTCCGCACAATTTGGAATGTTTCATTGTATTATCACAAATAAAATGATTGACTCCTGACTCCAAGCACAACTACTCAATATGCTTACAAATTCTTAATAATATTTGAAGGAGATTATCCAAGGCCAGACATGACATTTGGCCACCACTGTACCTACAATAAGGTATTAGGAACCAATAATGAACATTGCTTATTCAAGTTTGTTCATAATACAGGAACTAATGTTAATTTATATGGCTTAATTTTTTTTTTAAATGTATCAGTATTAACATGTATAGCACTTATTAATCTATCTTAATGTGTAAGGCCGTCTAATTCGATCCAATGGCGGTATTCGATTAGAGGTAAAGGTCTCACGCGTGTTCCTTCTTTTCTCATGACAAAGGGATTTTTAATTAAATGCAATACATTTTATCTTGTGTATTAACTCGTTATTTCATCTGACTCCATAAATGAAAAGGTTTTTCAATGATAGCTGTGCATCATTAAATCTACATAAATGTTTGACTATTCCTTACTCTTACTCTTACTCTAACTCTAATGAAAATAAAGTCAAAGTCTGTTAGAATAATAAAATATAACAATTTATTATGTCAGGTAAATGTATTATTACAATTTCATAATCAATTGAAAGATAATCAATGCAAACCATCAAATGTTCCAGAACAAAGAGGAAAATCTTTTACCCGACATTATGAAATACATGAATGCTGAGTCTCGGCGACTCCGCATTCACGGGCTGATCTGAGATACAGAAAAGGCCCTGATCCTTCCGCTGCATTTCATTATATAGCCAGACCTCATTTCATATGTAAACATGAGTTTACAGTGGAAATGTACTGTGTTCACCCCCCCAGACTTACTGGGGGTAGAAGTTGACTTACATGGTAAGTTATCATTTTTAACAATGGAAATTGGCATTGAGTTCACACCTTCTGGGAGCAGGAGGGTTTACCCATCCACCCTCCTTTGTGTGTATCTAAAAACCTTATTACCTTTTGTTTTACTTATTTGGAAATAGGACACTTGTACCATTCGCACTGAGACATTTCAAATAATACTAAACACATGTATAAAACTGTATGATGGTTGTTCAAATTAAAACCATATAGATTCTTGTGTGAGTTTGGGTGATCTCTGCAAGAGTGGGGGATGCGGGGAAGAAGTGTGTGTGTGAGATGTTCAAATGTTAATTTGCAGCAAGGTCCTTCGTCTCATAGACCAGTGGTGAGGTCTATCTCTTCAACCAGTTTTTTCAGTCTTACAAATGTATTGTTTATTGTTAGTTTGTGATACCTAATGCATGAACTAAAATAATGTCATTGTAAAGTGTTACGAGGAAGTCATATGTTTTTGAAGGGTGGCATTTGGGTGAACTATTCCTTTAAAAATACAGAAATATACTGTGATATTTTAAAAGCCGTGAGTGAAAGAAGGACATCTCCACAAACCGTCAGATAGGAGCCGTAGTATTTGGTGACATAAGGGCTGTCACACTGGCTGAGTACTGTGATCTCCTGCTGGATGTCTTCAATCTCATCCTCTGCCTCTTCCAAGTCAATAATCTTAATGGCCACCACCTCTTTTGTGCGGTTGTTTATTCCCTTGTAGACCTCTCCAAAAGAGCCTTTACCAATTCGCTCCAATTTGGTGAAGTATTCCTCAGGATTCAAACGCGGATTCTGAAGGGAGAAAAAAAATATTTAAACAAGAATGATTTAAAAATTCTTACCAGCTATCTATGGCAAGATCCAGCATAGTGTATTTTTTTTACACAGGTGACGGACTCTAGAAGTTGTCCTTTTATCAAGCAACAGATTAACAAATGCAGGAAGATCTACCCAGTCATCGCTCCACTGCTGAAGGTCCGGAGATGGTGAGAATCTATCGAGGGAACTGCTAGAAATCACATGTTTTTTAAGCACTTTTTTCATTTTCTAGGAAAACACTCCGAGCCTCTGCTTCCTTGTTCAGTATGGGATAAAGATGACTTGTACTGACATCCGTTTTATCAAAACACAACAATCACTTGACAAGACTCAAAGTTCAGGAGATAAAAACTCCTCTTGGTATCAGCTCAACATCCGATTTCCGCATTCATCACACTCATATTGACCCTTTTTAAAACACTGAGCAATCAAAACACAAACTTTTACTATTCTTGGTAGTACCAACCCTTTGGAGGCCCCATAATATGAGATCAGCATGATATGCTTTCTAAACATTCTCAGAAACAGAAAGTTAATTATTCTGCCAACTACACCTGCGTGATCTGTGGGTGTGCCACTCTTTCGTCAAGATACTCTGAGGCTCATCAAAACAAATGATACACTGCAATTATCATATTGACCTACAAAATATGCGCACTGGCTACAAAACATAAACCCGGTAACTAAATCATGAATAAATGGCATCCATTATCATCTGAATCTGTACAAAATACCCACATTGTCTAATATGTAATATAACATTTTTAAACTGTTATACTTTTAGGATTTTTAGCATAAATAAATGTTGATCATCAGACTGAATTTCATGTTCATTTTCCATGGACTTTGCCATTTTAGCAGCCCTGTTACCAACACATGAGACACCTAAATACAGCTTTAATTTAGCACAAAAAAAAAATTGCAATTAATGTTAAATCAAAGTCAAAATTAAATGGGCATTAAAACTAATTTGTGAATGGGTAATAGGGTTGCAAATTTTAGCCCAAATTATGATGTTTCTCAGAAGGTCCCAGCTAGTTTAGGATAAAATGTTGGTTAGTAGTTAGTGATGAACCTATATGTTACGTAACTTTAAAAAAAAAAAAAAAAACTTGATAAGTGCAGTTCACACTACAATTTGTGTAAAAATTAAGAAAATGATGATCTCATTTCTTGGGTGTTACAATTTTTCAGAATATCATGTGGTAACAGGGTTGTGTGGAAAATGTGGACAGCTAAATATTAGCTGTTATTAGTAACTACTATTATTAGTTAGATATTAGCTTTTAATGATTAGTTAATTATTTAAAAATATGAAAATAGTTTTCATTAGATATGCCAAGTCTACTTGGTTTACTTTTCTTAAATCATTTTGTTATTGAAAGATGTCTCATCAAGCCTGCATTTATTTGATCAAAAATACAGAAAAAAAAGAGTCATATTGTGAAATATTATTACAATTTATTGGTTTTCTATTTTAATATACTTTAAAATATAATTTATTTCTGTGATGCAAAGCTGAATTTTTTTAAGTGTCACGTGATTCTTCAGAAATCATTATAATATGCTGATTTATTATCAGTTGGAAACAGTTGTTAAAATTTCTTTGGAACCTGTGATATTTTTTTCAGGATTCATTGATGAATAAAGAGTTAAAAAAAAACAGCATTTATTCAAAATAGAAATATTTTCTAACAATATAAATCTTTACTATCACTTTTTATCAATTCAACACATCCTTGCTGAATAAAAGTATTACTGTATTTCAAAAAAAGAAAGGAAAAGAAAAATACTGAAATTACCCCAAACATTTTCTGCTATTTTAAATAAATGCTGTTCTTTTTTTCTTTTTATTCATCAAAGAATCCTGGAAAAATGTATCACAGGTTATACAAAAAATTAGGTTATACAAAAAAAAAACCAGCACAACTCTTTCCAACATTGATAATAAATCAGCATATTAGAATATATGTTGTATTGGCCAACAATTAAAACGTCTAGCCTACTAAAAAAATATTTTTTTCAAGAGGAACATCCTAAGCATCACATACACTTTAGTGCACTTTAGACATACTTTACATTAAAGTAATGTATTCACATAAATGCTGAGAGTAAAACTAACCAATTTAATTACAAAGCTTCCTACTAACATATTATAGTAGGCTATATTATAGTAAAGTTAATCATCATCCGAAAAGAACAGTAAGTAACTGTTATGTCTAATGCAAGGAGGTATTCAGGTGTCATCTTCATCTCTCTGGATTACCTGGTTCCGCATGTTATGAAGGTGTGCCATGTCCAACTAGATATACCTCCAGTTCGGGGTTCACAGATTTTTCCTCTTTCTCTCCTTCTTGAACAGTCACCCACCAATGGAACAGCTTGTTCCCAGTACACGCCTCTCTAAATCATCCCCGTGTACCAGACTGGCCCGCTGTAGGGTTTATAAGGTTTATAATCTGTATTCTCGTCCATCCATAAACGCAGACAATCGGTCTTTCGTGTGAATGTTTACGGTTTATGTTCTGCAGAGCAGAGGAGACTCCCTGTGCAACCTCACTTTGACTGAGAGAGGAATTGTGTTCTGCGCATGCGTGACAATCTCCTTTAAAGCCCAAAGACTTTTGGGAATCGTAGTTTTTCGCTCACTCTGAGCTACATGGCTGTTTACACTACACAGATGCAATGAAATAAATACCATGTTTATTTTACTTAATCTAAGCCCTGTCTGTGAAACCAGGCCTTAGAGATTCACAATTTAGGAATGTGACTATCATTTGTAAATCTTCTATATTTTTAGCTTAAACATTTCTAATTTATTGCAAATAACAGTTATTTTTCAGAAATAATTTATTTCTAATAACAGTTGCACATTAAGTCACTTCTTTCCTCACTTTTTTTTAATTCAAGGTCGCTTTATTAATATGACAAACATTATCTTGAAGACGTTTTTGAGCAAACCATTGCTATTTTCTATACTAACTTTACACTTCCCCTAAACAAAACTACACCCAGCTCACATCATTTTAATGAAACATTACTTAATTCCTTTAATTAAGCCTTTTGAATTGGGAAAATAACTAGATTTCAGATTTCCCTTCATTGTGTGGGCATTTCAGTTCATTTGAGCATCAAAATATTGTAGACTATAAAATATTGTATTATAAAATATAGGGGCCTACATTATTGTATAGGCTACACAAAAGTTTCTTGAGCATTATGTGCAAAATGCAGGTTACTGTCGGTCTGAGGTTTTTGTCGCACGGTCGTCCTTTTCTTATGATAAGACTATATCATGCAGTAAGATTTGTGTTTTTTTTTTTTCAACTGAAAATCTCTGCTATGACCGCATGCCAAGTTGGGAAAGGACATGAGGTTGAGGGGTGTTTTTTTTCTCTTCTTTTTTTTCCTGTTTTCGATTCATTTTGTGTTCAATCAGAACATGACCTGCCTGCTTGCTTTGGTCGTCAGTTTGAATTGGCCTGTTTCTATACCATAAGCTGACATAAGCTGTAAAGGAGGTCAAAGTGCTGCTTTCGAACAGGAGGCATTTCACATTGATGAAATTGCTTTCTCTGACTCTGAGTCTGTGTTTTCCTGTTCATTTATTGTTAGTCTGTTCAGTTGTCATTTAAGTTATGTATATAAAAATTGGAAAAAAATCCAAGTCCAGGCACTCAGTAGGTTACAAAAGTACATAAGTAAAAAAGCCTTTATTATTATTTGATCGAGGGCTAAACCATTAAAAAACACCAACGCGTATCGGCCAAGTTATGTATGTTCTTGTTTCAAATATTCTGTTAGCAGTCAAATTGACACCTGCATTATTGTAAAAAAAAAAAAAAAAATTGTGGTTAATGTGTAGCTTCCTCTTTGTCCCTGTAGGGGGCAGTATTGTTAAAAAATATTGCCCCAAGCCAAAATAAATATATTTATTTAGGGATCAGAGTAATTGTTGATTTGCAAACTTATATCTATTTAAATCTATTTATATATATATATATATATATATATATATATATATATATATATATATATATATATATATATATATATATATATATATATGTGAAGATCAGTTACCCTATCTGTATTTTGATTATTAAAGAATAAACACGATGGGAGGTCATGTGACAGGCATGCATGAGCATGTATGGGTTCCGCAGAAAACATAAGCATTATTCCTTAGAGGTGTGGTGAGTTAAAACTTACCGAAGAGTACTAGTCTCCACAGTGTCTCATTATTCACTGGAAATGAAATGTAAACTGCTTATTGTTACATGATATGTTTTAAGTGTTACATAAATGTGAGCAACGTACGGCCTCCATCTGTCTGTATGCGGTTGTTTTAATCTGATAAACTGTCACAAGCTATTTAGAATTAGTTGTGAAGATAAGTTATTTTAGTTTTAAATCGGGATACAGAGGAAACCTCAAATGTGGTCAGGAAAAAAAGGAACTGTATCATTGTCTGTCAGTAAGATAAACTTCAACTTTCTACTCATTATGTTCCCGTGTTGAACAGAACTTTTTGTTCTTTTTTGTCCCTGTTTTTAAGGAAGTTCACTGTATAGTGCTTCAGTAAGCTTTTTATTGTTAAATCAGTTATTCAGGATTTGCAGTGTTGGGCAAGCTACTTGGAAAGTGTAGTGAGCTAAGCCAGTTACTCAGAGTTTTGCAGTTATTCTGAAGTTGCATTATAATATTACCTACAGATTTATGTACTGTAACTACATATTATAATATAATATTATCATTATTAGTAATTATTAAAAATATATAATATTTAGCAGTAATGTATCAATATACACTCACCGGCCACTTTATTAGGTACACCTGTCCAACTGCTCGTTAACACTTAATTTCTAAGCAGCCAATCACATGGCGGCAACTCAGTGCATTTAGGCATGTAGACATGGTCAAGACAATCTCCTGCAGTTCAAACCGAGCATCAGTATGGGGAAGAAAGGTGATTTGAGTGACTTTGAACGTGGCATGATTGTTGGTGCCAGAAGGGCTGGTCTGAGTATTTCAGAAACAGCTAATCTACTGGGATTTTCACGCACAACCATCTCTAGGGTTTACAGAGAATGGTCCGAAAAAGAAAAAACATCCAGTGAGCGGCAGTTCTGTGGGCGGAAATGCCTTGTTGATGCCAGAGGTCAGAGGAGAATGGCCAGACTGGTTCGAGCTGATAGAAGGGCAACAGTGACTGAAATAACCACTCGTTACAACCGAGGTATGCAGCAAAGCATTTGTGAAGCCACAACACGCACAACCTTGAGGCGGATGGGCTACAACAGCAGAAGACTCCACCGGGTACCACTCATCTCCACTACAAATAGGAAAAAGAGGCTACAATTTGCAAGAGCTCACCAAAATTGAACAGTTGACGACTGGAAAAATGTTGCCTGGTCTGATGAGTCTCGATTTCTGTTGAGACATTCAGATGTTAGAGTCAGAATTTGGCGTAAACAGAATGAGAACATGGAACCATCATGCCTTGTTACCACTGTGCAGGCTGGTGGTGGTGGTGTAATGGTGTGGGGGATGTTTTCCTGGCACACTTTAGGCCCCTTAGTGCCAATTGGGCATCGTTTAAATGCCACGGCCTACCTGAGCATTGTTTCTGACCATGTCCATCCCTTTATGGCCACCATGTACCCATCCTCTGATGGCTACTTCCACCATGTCACAAAGCTCTAATCATTTCAAATTGGTTTCTTGAACATGACAATGAGTTCACTGTACTAAAATGGCCTCCACAGTCACCAGATCTCAACCCAATAGAGCATCTTTGGGATGTGGTGGAACGGGAGATTCGCATCATGGATGTGCAGCCGACAAATCTGCGGCAACTGTGTGATGCCATCATGTCAATATGGACCAAACTCTCTGAGGAATGCTTCCAGCACCTTGTTGAATCTATGCCACGAAGAATTGAGGCAGTTCTGAAGGCAAAAGGGGGTCCAACCCGTTACTAGCATGGGGTACCTAATAAAGTGGCCGGTGAGTGTAGATATTACAGTACAATACCGTATAATTAGTTACAGCAGAAGCAGACCACATTACAAAGTAAAAATACAGTAAAATACTGTTTTGTAGTTTACAGCACTGATCTTGTGTACTGTAAATCGAAATACAGTAACTTGCTGGCAATCCTGCTGCCAGTAATGTACTGTGAAAATACAAGAAAATCGTTAACAGTGTAGGCCTATATATATATAGCTTCACTTCACTGAAGCTATACACCCTGGGAAATGATTTATGCGGTTTAATATTCTCAGACACTATAGTCTATATTGCGATTTTATTTAAGTTTAGAGACCCATACTTTTCATCCACGATCTGACAAATCCCGTGAAATTCCGCGTTACAGTCGGTAAATTCCGTTTTTAATGCCTGGATTCCGTCCTTGTTTTCCGCATCGCGGGACTGAAATATGGCCCTATGGGGTTGCCAACCGCAGTAAAACACGAAGACAAAGAAGAAGATTAAGCTAGAGCTTTAGAAATGCTTGGGAAAATGTAGCTTGTGTGGACGCTACCTCACTACAAAAAAAGAGCTTCGCTACTGAAAAGCCATTTGATTCAGAAAACAGCGACGCTACCACCACGGTATTGAGAAAAGTAGTTAAACAGCGTCTACTTGTAGCGACGCTACTGCCCAACACGAACATTTGAAGGAAACTTGATGTGTTTTGCATATTCCTGCTTACAGGGAATTACTAGACATGTCAAAGCAGATCTTAGGGTTTAATGTGTGCATGTTTCTTCGGGAAAGCCGATGATTCAGCTGAATGGGTGGCTCCAATGATTCGGAACTGACAAGTTTAGGGCAAAAGCAGTCAAGACTTGTAAAACAACTCTATCAAAGTAACTTGAACACTTTTTTGTTCAACAACTATGCACATTAAAATTACTTTTACAATATGCTCAAAACTGATCTTGTTCTAACTTCTAAATTAAAAGAGTAGGCCTACAGTGAGACAAAATTATGGTTTTATTAGTAAAAGTGAAGGGCTAGCTACCATGTTTTTTGGGAAAATTGATTACCAATTGTATAACCACAGTTTTATTACAAATACCATGGTTTAACTACTTAGTGTAGCAAAAAGGTTTATTTGCGGCTATGGTTTAACTACAATGCTTTATTTGAAGTAATTTCACCATAATTAATGGCTGACAAAAAAAGCATGTGACTGATAAGCATTGATTGTAGTCTATTATTGTGTATTAAATTATAGTTTGGTTAGCCATATTTTTAAATTTCCATACTTAAAATGACATGAGATATGGGATAACAACATAAAGGGTTAGTTTGAAAGAAATTGTTAAGGATGTTGATGAGATTGGAATGGTGAGTCAACATTCCAGACAGAGAGACACAAAATAATTTAACCAAATTTAAGCTATTTTGCTGGTCGTAGCTCACATATGGCCAAGTTATTCAGATGGTCTAGCTGGCTGGCCAGTTGAAAAAAGTTCGAAACCCCTCGAAAAATTAGCCAACAGAGCCCGACCAGGCAAGATAATACCAACCAGCTGCAGGTTTTAGATGTAATCAGACTAAAACAGATAGCCTAACATTTGTCACAATGCAGGGCCATTTAAAAGGAATTAGTAAAGACAAAAGGTGATTAAACATGAAGAAAAAATATGAAGACATTGTTACCCCTATAGCCTACATTAGGCATTTTATCCAAAAAGTTAGCTAAAAAGTCCATGAACACATTTTGCTTCAACTACAGACATAGATAGATAGATAGATAGATAGATAGATAGATAGATAGATAGATAGATAGATAGATAGATAGATAGATAGATAGATAGATAGATAGATAGATAGATAGATAGATAGATAGATAGATAGATAGATAGATAGATAGATAGATAGATAGATAGATAGATAGATAGATAGATAGATAGGGTAGAGTGGGGGAAAACGCCCCCCTTAAGGAAAATGTGACATTATTGTGAAACAAAACATAAATGTGACTAGAATTGCCATCCCAGTTTTGAGTGTCTATGGCAGGAGTTATTTACCAAATATTAAAATTGCTCAACCTTCATAATAAATTTTTTTTTTGACTGAAAATATTTTGTACAAAGGGGGCGTTTTGCCCCAGCGGTGGGGTAAAACGCCCCCCAAGGTGGGGTAAAATGCCCCCTTTCTACCAAACTACCAACCAGTTTGCTTCATAGATCAACAGCAAAATGAACATAGTTTTTAATCTCTAAAAGTAAAAGGCAAGTAATGCAACAACATGTATATATATATACCTATTAATATTTATTTCAGCAATGTACAAAATAGCCAAATTTCTAACATTTTAATATTTTGATTTCTACACTAGGCCTATATGGGGTTGATAATTGATGTAGTATTTGTTCACCACTATCATCAAGAAAAACAGAAAACCCTAAATAAATATTAAACATAAATTAGTATATTTATAGTGAAATATATTCCATAAATGCATAAAGGTCACTGTGTTTTATCATTGGGTCACCTAACCACCTTCCATCATTGCATTCACCAAGCTAGCTAATGCTCACTTGAGGTAATTTTTTCATGTTTTGTTCAAATATTTTGATTTTAACACCTAGTTATACTGCATTAAAGTGTAAAATAAAGACTTTGATGAACAGAAATATGTTACTGTAGTAATTATGATAAAGAGAAACTATGCCCCTTGGGGGGGCGTTTTACCCCTCAGCATAGGGGGCGTTTTACCCCACAAGCTATGTCTTTTTAAAAAATTGTTTATTTAACAAATATATAATTATATTCCTTATAAATAACATATGCTCTCAAACTACAGACATCACTATTCATCTATCATACATCAATGTGATATCACTGTGAACAATATTCTATTAAAAACTTGTTTATTAATATCTGAAAGTTATAGCACTTTCCATGTAATCCTCTTCTCTTCAAATACGTCGCTGGTGTCAGCTTCTCCATGGAGATTTGTATATCCCCGTTGTCAACGTAGTGCATAGCAATAGTAAAAATGTATCTTGATTCATTCTAGTGGTTATTTTGGGAAAAACGGGTGGGGGGCGTTTTACCCCAGGGGGGCATTTTCCCCCACTCTACCCTAGATAGATAGATAGATAGATAGATAGATAGATAGATAGATAGATAGATAGATAGATAGATAGATAGATAGATAGATAGATAGATAGATAGATAGATAGATAAGTTGAAGCATTTTGGCATAAGGCTGCATTAAAATAAAATGTGCAAAAAAGAAAGGGTCTGAATAATTTGTGAATAGAACATTTAATTATTATCTTTGTTCCTTGAATTATCAAATGTTAGCTCTGTAAACACACTAGCTCTTAGAGGGGCGGATCATCAAAACCATAACAGTGCTGGTTATCTTATCTCCGCCTTAACGGAGAGCTTTTCCATAGAAGGAGACAGACTGATGTGTGCAGTCCATCCATACCGCCGACAGGCGACACGCCGCCGCTGACAGATCCCCTCGCTCGCGGGCTGCTGCGTATCAGTCTGTGGAGAACAATACCCGAGCTTTTATTACAAATGCCGATATTTAAGACTCTGAGGATTTGTTGACTTACGAGTAACAGCAAGGGTAATCGATCTCTGTTTCTGCTCTTTTTGGCCGCTTTTTCAGGTTCATGTCCATTCCAAGAGAAGGTGCGACCGAGTCTTTCTAGCTAATATAGAAAAAACACGCGAGTTTTCATCTTTATCCAGATCGTGTACGGCGTCATCCGACTTTGGAAAGAGAGGAGGGTGGAGAAGAAACACTTCCATACACGGTGTGAGAAAGGTGGAGGTTTGTTGTCAGCTGATTGTAATTCTCCACTCATGAAGGGCATGGAGATGTTGCGCCGCTCCTCAGTGTTCGCGGCTGAAGTCATGGAGGTGTTTGATCGTTCTCCCACGGATAAGGAGTTAGTGTCTCAGTCTAAAGTGTTGTGCAGGGATTACATTCACTCCAGACTCCACCGGGCTGGAATCGGATGGTCGAAACCAGAGCACGGATCCGGAACACTGGCTGAGGTGTCATCAGTCCTGCTGTGGTTGGGTAGGACATCTGACGTTTCACTCATAGACTATTAATGTTTAGAGATTGCCATGGGGTTACATGTACTGGTAGTGTAGTGCATAGCCTACATATTTGGATGCTATACACCCCTTACGAAAATTAACCATGGTTTTACTACAAATAAAACAAAATAAAAAACATGGTTAGGCTAGTTAAACCATGATAACCACAAATTAACCATGGTTTTGCTACACTAAGCATATTTGAATCATAGTAGGCCTAGGCTATTTGTAGTAAAACTGTGGTTGGTAATCAATCTGCCAAAAAAACATGGTTAGCCTAGGCTACTACACTTTTACTACAATACAACCATGTTTCATATTCGTAAGGGATACATACTGTGTGAATATTTATTATATTATGGTGCTAAATGGTCATGTGTGTATTAGTATTTAGCCATAAGTAGCCTACTGTAGGCTATCTGTTTGAGTTGTGGTTTGATGTACAGATGTTATATTTTAAGACTGAGTTAAAAGTGCAGAGAACTTCCTGTTAATTTTCATTCTTTCTTAATCTGTGCTTGTCTGGTTCATAAGAAAATAAATGGAAAATGGACCATCCATAATTGTTCTATGAACTTTCAGAAATGAAAATAAACACGTGTTTCTCAGCTTCCTCAAAGCCAAACCATTGATTGCGTAATATTTTACAACACTCTTACAAGGTTCGTCTGTGTCTCACCCATTAAAAAGTACTTTGCCTTTTGTACCATGTTAAATGTGTGTTTCATCCTTTTATGGCGTTGGACATTCTAAACTCTTTCACAAGATTGAATGTTATGCCTATCAATAACATTTAATCTCACATAATTTTGTTGATCAGACACTATAAGTAGCCTACCTTAAACATATCACATGACTTTCATCTGAGTTACTCTTAACTGTCATTGTTCTGCAAGAAGCCGTTTTCTCCTAAAAGGGAAAAGCACAAGAATTATAATTTGAGACAACTGTGTAACTGGGGGAGCTGCTTTTTATGGACAAGGCATGCAAACATGCAGATCATTATCACAAGGCAGATTGAGGGTTCCCCACCCACACTTAACCAGGTTAATCCTGTATTGTCCTGAAAAAAGTCCTTCACACTTACATTAAGACGGATGATTCATGTGGGTGAGACATAAACTCTTCCAAATAAAAGTTGCTGCTGGGTTTTCACAGCGATTCCGTAGTAGAAGAACCATTTTTTTCTTAGCATGAAGAACATTTAAAAAAAAATCTAAAGAACATTTTCCCACTATAAAGACATTTTGTGGAATTGAAAGGTTCCGTTGATGTTCTTCAAGGAACCACCAATGCCATAAAGAGTGCAGCTGAGCATAGCTAAAGACTTATTTAACAGACAATTTCATCATCTGCTTATATGACGATAGTATGAATAGTAGCAGGTTTTAAGGTTAGGTTGCAGTTCTTTTACATTGTCATTGTGTCAAGCCTCTCCAAATTAGTGATTTTATTCTGTAAGACTCGAGACCTTTTCTTCCCGATAGTTTGAGCCAAGGAAAGAAAACACATTTGTCTCTCTGTCTCCTAGGAGACGAGCTGGAGTACCTGAGACCCAATGTATACCGCAACGTAGCACGTCAGCTCAACATCACAATCCCCTCTGAGAGTATAGTCTCTGATGCCTTTTTGGCCGTCGCTGCAGAAATCTTCTCTACAGGTTGGTCAGTGTCCTCCTTGCTTGATACATTTTAGTTTGGAAAACAGTTGTCTGTAGATAAACTAATCGGTGCATCTGGTTCCAGAGATGTTGTCCATCAGTTAAACATTAGCAAATACTCACACTAAAAACAGATTAATTGAATCTGAAAACCAATGAAACCTGGTTTATATGATATGCCTATGTTTTGTTTTTTTATATCTATATCAATTTTACATAAGTCTATATTTTTTCAGACCCTTAAATCGATAGTTCACCCAAAAATCAAACAAACAACAACAAAAAAACATTGAGACATTTCTTCTTTTATGTTCCACAGAAGAAAATCGTACAGGTTTTCAACATGAGGGTCAGTAAATGATGACATGTTTTTAAAAAGATTTTTGGGTGAACTATCCTTTTAAGTGACTTTACGCTCCTTTTAGTGAGGGTAAAACTGGATCCATTCTGACATTTATATATACACAGAGAAGCGGTGCTGGGACTCGACCCTGAGAGCACCATAAAATGTGGATTTTTCTTTAAAGTAAACAGTGTCTGGGCATCATGGAAGTTATCATTCCATTTGCTGCGTACTGTACTTTGCTCATATTTAGTGCAAACCCATTTAGTTGACTCAACCATTTAGTTCAAATGGTCAACCCTTTTTTGATCTCTCAGATTTAGAGTGTAGTAAATCATGGTCTTTTTTTTCAACATTGGCAGAGTAAACTTGTTGTAACTTGTTCGCCTCATTTCTTCAGGGAAACATTCTTTGCATTCTAATTATTAAAGCATAATTGCTTGTGTTAGTCCAAGTACATCAAAGATTCCTCACTGAACACAAAGCACGGTGACACCCTTGCACCTCTTGTTTTTACACATACCTGTCCTCAAGCAGTGTAGCTGAGTTTGTGTGGTCATTGGTGTTCACTTTTTTTTTTTTTTTAACCCGCGCGTGTCCTTTGATCCTTTTAGAGTTCTATATGACTGTGCACTTTAAACAATTATTGTGCTTTTTTATATTTTAAGACATGAATGTAATATTTTCACACGATGCTTGATATATTTTAATATAATTTCTTTTCAGTGTTTTATATATTAACCTTTGCTTTTGTTTTATTCTTGAGGCATTTCAATCATTTCTGCTTTTTCAATCATTCAGCTTTACTGTGACACTTTCTAAGACTGTTTAATATAAACAATGGTGCAATTTCCAAAATAATATTTTAATTAAACAATATTATGCATAATACAATGTTATACATAGCATTTTAAAAATAATTTTTCTTTTGTGGTTTTCATAATTCATGCTGGATAAGTGTTTTTTCTTTTTTTTTGCGCTGATGCATTTGTGCATTAAAATCTACTTTAATAAATAAAAAATCTAAACAAAACAGGAGACCAATAACTGATTTTGTCAGGAGGAACCATTTTAGCAGATCTTTTATCCTCAACTTAATCAAAATCATTAAAGCCATTAACAAGTTTAGGTTCCTTGAAGTTGGCCTTCATTTTTTCCAGAATAGAAAGTGCTAACTATAAGGTGTGTGAGCAGATTTGTCACGTTTTGAGTTTGTTTTTTGATCTGTCTCTCTGTTCTGTTGATATTTGTGTTTCTTTGTTAATCTTCAGCATAAAATTATGCTGCGTTCCAGGCAGGTTTTTGAGCACGTAAATCACGACTTCAAACCACGACTCACGACTTTGTAGCGTTCCAGGCCAGTCACGCCAAACTACCTGTCTTGAGCCCAATATACATACTTATTGTTTCAGAGACATTGGAATGCATAATCGTGTGTGTATTATTATCATTATTATTATATTATTATTAACTTGACTGCAACGTTATATTGTCCTAAAGTGTATTCTCACCGTGTACCGCCTGCAGAAACACTGCATCCATAGGGGCTGCCATTGTTGTTTTGTATGGTTTCGCGGGCTATGTGACGTCAGAGCTCGTAACTGGGAGTACATCGATCTAGTACGAGTTCACGGGTGGGAAGTCACGGGTTTGACTGCCGTTCCAGTGTACTTTCACGGGTATAAGGTTGGAAAAACACGGGTTACAGGTTGCCTGGAACGCGGCATTAGTTCAGATCTCCATTCTCTCTCTGTTTGTTTCTATGGTTACAGATTGATTTGAGTCCTCAAAGTTTCTGTTAGTCCCTTGTCTTGCATTGTTTTATTTTAATGAGTTTGTGGTTGAGTTTTTATGTGGTTTATTGTTTTGAATTTGTGGATTAAAGACTATTTCAGTATTTACATCGTCTTGTGCTTTCATCTCAGCCACCAACCGTGATAATTTGTCAAGAGTGGGATTGTTGATTCATTTGTTCATTCAAAGATATTTCAGTTGTTTTATTAAATGGGGTCAGAGGTCAGCGTGGTGATTGTTAGAATCTGCAACGCCTACAGAATTCCTTAGTTACATAGTCACAACATAGATGCAAGTTTCTAATTAAATGCGGGAAAATCCAGTTTAGTCTTTTTTTGGCAGTGATAGTCCTTCTACACAGACAGATGGTTGTATCATTGTGCAAAAGGAAGGTAAATTATCAGTATTATCAGTATTTCGAGTGTCGGTGTGCATATATGTTAGGAATAATTGACTTCGGTTCTGTTATTTTTTCAATAATTTAAAGGCTCAGAGTCAATTATTCTGCTTATGCTATGGTTACCACACTTCAAAACATTGTTCAGATCATGTATTTCAAGATATTTGTCAGGTTAAAGTCCTTAAAACGCAAATTTTTTACGCATCTAATCCCTAGCCTCCGTTGCTAATTAATTCCGTAATTTTAGAGCTAGAAACGAGCCATTGATAGCAGACGCAGTGTCTTGTAGCTTTTAAGTTGTTAAACTACTGACAAAATCGTCGGAGCAACGCTGACAACACACGAGTGTGTGTCCGTACTGTATGTGTGTGCATTTGAGTGGGAGAGAGAGTGGGATATATGCGCTTTCCGTAAATAATAAAAACGTAATTTTGTGGTAAAAAAACATGGACATAATTTGTCGTTTTTATCCTATTGTTTACTATATTAATTTGCTTAATTTGCTTTGTCAGGGTCGTTGTAGGTTTTGGTTCTTTTGTTGTTGTAGTAGGCCTATGTAAGGAACTTTGAAATAACTGAAATCATTTGGCGAAGTGATATGGACATGTAATGCGGTCAAGACCTGCCTGGAACTACTTTAGCCTTGCGTTTCCCTGAAAATAATTGCACACCTTAGAACGTTCGTCAACCAATCAGATTCAAGCATTCACCAGCCCTGAAGTATAAATTTAATTAATACATGATGTCTTCATTTGATTAATACATGTCTTCATTTGAAACAGCATGTTGTAAACTAAAATATTCCGTCGGAATTGTGAACTCAACATGTAAACGTTCTTACAAGAGTCAGAGGGAGGAAATTGTGGTGTTTTCTGTTTATCTTGAACTTCAAACCAGCTTTTATCTCTTTTATTCCTCAATATGGTTTCCTTTTGCCTCTGTGTTTCCTGCCTTTGCTAGACTCAGATTAGGTTCCTGCCTGGGTTGATATGTTTATGTCTGGCCATTTGATGTTCCCAGGCGGGGTTTTGCAGCTTTATTAGCCTACGTTTTGTTTAATTCCAGGCTGAAATGTTTGAAGGTTAGAGTAGTGTCCATTTATCATTTTAGTTATCAGGATGCCTACTTGTTTGATGAAATGTAATAGTACAGATATCCTTTTATTTAAATTCAGACTCGTGACCATAACATATTTACTGTGTGATGGGGAAAAGCAAATAATCTATAGGCCTACCCTTTAAACTACTGTTGTATTTCATGGTTATTGTTATACATTTAAAAATGTGTCTCTTTATATATTTAAATATATATCATTTATCAAGCTTACAAATGAGGCTAACACCTTACAGCCACACCTTATTACATTTAAGGCATGTTGATATCATATTTATAGGTTACAGTCACAAGTGAAACAAATGAATTTGCTCTGCTGAAAAAAAAAGTCCTTGTGTCTTTCTGGCTGACACACCAGCTGACAGCTTGCCTGGCTGCCAATAGTTATACAACAATACTCCACCTCCTTTTACAGTATAATAATGTTCTGTTAGAAATGGGGGTAAGGAATTATCATGTGTTTTAATGACTCACGTGGTTATGATTTTCATTCCCATTATATATTTATTGTCTTCATTAATCATTACAATTACATTTCTTTAAAGCTGCAGTCCGTATCTTTTTTTGGGTTAAAAATTATCCAAATTACATATTTGAGAAAATACATAACCTGCCAGTGTTCAAAACTCTCTGCTTGCCTTAGCTCGATTCAAAGGGATAAGCTTGTAATAATGTTTTTAATTCCAGTGGTACTGGTGGATTTCCGCGGGAGATTCGAGCATGTCTTTGCGTCATTACGTCACATCTGTACACATAAAGAAGGAGTCTCGGCTAGTAGGCTATGAGTGTGAGGATGTTGGAGGTGGAGATTTATAGCCTTTTCTCACAGCACTTGATATAATTAAACTTATCAATTTGATGGCGGATCCAGAAAGGTTCAAACGACAATCACCAGTGACAACAGATTCACCCGCTGTAAAATGCAAAAGACTTCGTTCGGACTTCGGAGTGGCTACAGAAAAAAAGAGACTGCAACCGGACCCATGCGAAAACAAGGATACATATCGGAAGGACATTACATGTAGTCACGCAATGCTTGCTTACGTTGTTAACATTAACAATTTGAGAACAAAGTATAATTCTCACGGTTTTGCATGATATGATAAGCGATTTTTAGATTTAATCATCGCGATTTACTGCAATGTCAGAACCAGAACAAAAGTGGATGTTTCTTACTTGTTCAGATGACATTTTCCGGTGAAAATTCTTATGTTGGTCATACTTCCAAAAAGAATAATCTGTGATTCTGAATGCCAGTATCCACACCGGCGCGGTGACTGACAGCTGCACACTCTCCTCAAACATTGTGTTCATCCGCGCTGTGCCGTGTTGAAGTACAACTCACGTAGAGTTAATAATTCCGTGAATAACTGCAATTGCAGATTTCGAACAGAGATGGCAACAAAGTGGAAAAACTGCGGACTGCAGCTTTAAATGAATCATTTGATACAAAGCACTTGTTTAGTACTTACATGTTCTTACATTGTACTTATATTTCATAATTCTTTTCTCTAATTACATCTATAATTGCACTGTTGACCCTTCCCTTGCATCTTAACCCAACTTTAAACCTACCCATACCACCAAACCTGTCCCTGGGCTGACCTTACCCATATCCGACCTCAATAGCAGCAAAAGTGGTTTGTACATAACAGTTAAAGTTTTTTTTTTTTTTTTTTTTTTTTATGTAAGCACAAAGTAATTAGACACCTAATATGAAGTGTGACCTGACTTTCATACACACTTCCACCAGCACACACAAATGCTGTCATTGGTATGAATGAAAGTATGTGGAAAAGGACAGCCTTCGTTTGATTATATTTATGTAAATCTCTGTTTCTCTATGTACAGGTGTAACATGGGGGAAGATTGTGTCTCTGTATGCAGTGGCCGGAGCTCTTGCTGTGGACTGTGTTCGGCACGGGTATCCAGCAATGGTGCACACCATTGTCGACTGCATGGGCGAATTTGTTCTCAAGAGCCTTGTGTCGTGGTTAAAGAGGAGAGGAGGCTGGGTAAGAAATAAATCTATTCATTGAGTACAATTAATTAGAATATTTATGCATTTAATCATGCCTTCACCCGGCCCAAACATACATAATACTTGATTCTGATTGGTCATTCGTGGCATTCAGCAGGCAATTTCCTAATATTCGCTGTCGTCCATCATATGTGGCTCATGTTTATCAGACCGCTCATTTGGGTAACTGAAACTGTCGCTGTTTTCTCGTATCACGCCGTGGACTCGCTCTCTCATTTCATACAAGCGCAACTGGTGTTACCTTGCATCTCGGTTATCGAATGTAGTGAAAATGACCGTAAAGGACCAATTTCTAGCCTGACTGTTTTGTACATTGTAATAAACTTTTTTTTATGTTGTTTTGGACTATTTTTTAAAGCAGAAGCAACAGCTTATTTTATATACATACCTAGTTATTTTATATATCATATAACTAGTACTAGTCAAAAGGATGATTTAAATGAATTCCATTGTAAGAGTTTAACTGTAAACTTATTTCCCTTTTTTGTTTTTATAAAATTATTATTATTATTTTCTGTGGTAGGCTACTTGACTGAATGTTCGCAGGAGCTAAAGTTGCATTTAAAGGGATAGTTCACCCAAAAATATAAATTCCGTCATTTACTCACCTCATGTCATTCCAAACCTTTATGTCCTTCTTTCTTCTATGGAGCATAAACTAAGATATTTTGAGAAATGTGTGTGTGTGTGTGTGTGTTTTTCTCCGTACAATGGAAGTCAGTGGTCGCCAAAACTGTTTGGTTACCTACATTCTTCAAAATATCTTCTTTTGTGTTCAGCAGAAGACAAAAAGTCATACATGTTTGGAACAACATGAAGGTGAGTAAATGATGACAGAATTATCATTTTTGGCCACTCTTTTCAGAGTTGATGTAAGTAACATTGTGCTGTCTGTTTATATAACCAAGCTAAGGCCCAGAAAGAGCACAGACTGCTGTCTTTCCATCTTTGTTCAGTGTGTGTAGACAGAATGTGCAGTGTTCATGCAGCTTTTTGGGGGAAATCTGATCAATCTCTCTGAAGACCAGCACAGTTCAGCGAACCTGTTGAATGAGGAGCTGTGCTGGTATGTGCGGCTGCTTTGGCAGGGCATGTCTGTGGCGTCTGTTCTTATTAGACTGTCTCTATTCAGGCAGATTCGACATGGCACTGTGTCATTACTGCCTGCTCTTACATAGGTCCATATGCAGCTCTGACACCCGCTTTTGACTTTTAGATAAAAACATTAGATATTAGATATAGATATTAACCTACTAAAACCCAGCAAATAACTATCTATATTTATTTATTTGGCAAAATGCTAAATATATATATAAATACACACCGATCCGTCGAGGCATGGACTCTACTAGACCCCTGAAGAAGGTGTTCTGTGGTATCTGGCATCAAGACGTTAGCAGCAGATCCTTCAAGTCCTGTAGGTTTGTTGGTGGAGCCACTGTGAATTGAACTTGTTGGTCACAGATGCTCATTTGGATTGAGATTGGGGAATTTGGAGGCAATGGCAACACCTTGAACTCTTCATTGTTCCTCAAACCATTCCTGAACAATGTGTGCAGTGTGGTAGGCCGCATTATCATGCTAAAAGAGACCACATCCACCAGGCAACACTATTGTCATGAAGGGGTGTATCTGATCTGCAACAATGTTTAGGTATGTGGCACGTGTCAAATTTACGTCCAAATGAATGGTCGGACCTTCCTTCACGGTTCACCACACTTCCTTCACCGTTTTTGTCATCATCCCACAGTGCATCCTGGTTCCATCACTTCCCCAGGTAAACGGAGCACACGTACACGGCCGTCCACGTGTTGTAAAAGAAAACAGGACTCATTGAACCAGGCGACCTTCTTCCCCTGCTCCAAGGTCCAGTTCCGACACTCATGTGGCCATTGTAGGCCCATAACCATCATTCAAATTTTGTGTCACTTGTGTCACAGTAGACCTTCTGTTGGCTCGGACCATACGGGATAGCCTTTGTTGCCCTCGTGCATCAATGAGCTTTTGGCGCCCAACACCCTTTCGCCTGTTTGTGGTTTGTCCCTCCTTGGACCACTGTTGGTAAATTCTCACCACTGCTGACCGGGAGCAACCAAGAAGCCTTGACGTTTCAGAGATACTCTGACCTAGTCGCTTGTCCCTCGGTCAAAATCGCTCAGATCTTTATTCCTGTCCATTCCTCCTGCATCCGACACGTTAACTACGAGAACTGATTGTTTGCTTACCATCTAATCTACCCAGACCTTAATACTGTATGTGGAGATGATCAACTATATTCGCTTCACTTGTGACTGCTCATAATGTTTTGGCTCATCAGTGTACATAGATTATTAATGGGAGTAATAGCATGTAGAAAAATATTTTAATGTTGTGTTAAAAAATGTTTTTTAGGGATATCATTTTATAAGAACATAGTTCTAGGATAAGTTTAATGTTTGTTTGTTCTGTTTTATGACTTATTTAGAAAGTGAGAACAAAAAAGAAAACATTCAGGACTAAGGATCAACTTTAAAATTATTTTATGCTCTGTGGTGGATGTACTGCTGGTTCAATTGGGTGAGTGTAATGGTTGCTTCAGGCGAAATCATTCTCAACATTTTTCAATGTGCAGTTCTTCTTGGGAGTGTCCTGATTTTTATTTTATTTTTTAACTGCTGTTTTTGTAAGACATGGGCACACCTACAGACTGAACTGAACCTGAAAACAAGGACTTTATCATCAGGAGCACTAAGTGAAAGTATGTGTAAAGCAGAAGCCGGTTAGACTGTATTTTACATTGTTGTTGATGTGAGTATGTGGGCACTAGTGTCTACGTGCCATGTTGAGGGTTTTGCTCTGCAGGATTGCCCTAGGAGCTAAATGAAGGGCCACACACACACACACACATCTTTTATAATTAAAATTCCTAATTAACGAAGTTTGAGATCAGTAAGATTTTTTTGAAAATCCATTTGCAAGGATGCATTACATTGATTAAAGTGCGCTTAAAGTAATTTAAAAATGTTCAAATATAATATAATATAAAAAATTATATTTCGAACTTTCAATTCATCAAAAAATCCTCAAATAAGTCACAGTTTTCACAAAAACATTAAAGCTACACAACAGCATTTTCAACATTGAATAGAATAAGACTGAATGTTTCTTGAGCTGCAAATCAGCATAATAGAATGATTTCTGAAGGATCATGTGACACTGAAGACTGAAGTAATGGTGCTGAAAATTCAGCTTTGCCACCATACAGGAATATTTATTTTTTAAATCATTCATATCTGTGTGCAGACTGCATTGTGACTGATTGATTTTTATTTGAAAAAAAAAAAAACATTGCCCCCGTTATATGACCCCCCATTCATTTTAATGGGAATTCCTAGGTGTTCCTAGTGTGCATTGAACATGTGAGTGTGTCCAATGCAGAACACACACACATGCCCATACACACACATCTACACACGTAGTATAGATGTGTGTGTATGGGCATGTGAGTGTGTTCTGCATTGGGGATGTTCTATAGGCTTATGCCTTCATTTGTGTGTTCGTTCTGGATTGTGCCAGTTTTTTTATCTATTATTTTTTTTTACAAATAAAAAAAAATCCCCATTTCCCGTTTCACTATTTTTTTACAACCACATACACTCTTCGAATACAGTCAATTTTTTTTTTTTTTGTGTGTATTCCAAGTTCAAGTGTGACAAAAATCTTAAGGTCTTGGACCACTCAATTTTTTTTAATTAAAAGAAAATGAATTTTGGGTCAAAATGACCTGAAGAGAGCATAAGGGAACTGACCATCCAGATTAAAACAAACTGAACTTTAATACTCTGAACATGTATTAAGCTAATTTGGGAATTTATAACATTTGGTGTGAAATCTAACGTGTTTAGACTACTGAATGTTGGCTTTCCTAAAAGGGGCATACTTGAGTGCAAACTGAAGTTCCTTTTCCTTTTGTTATTACCAGATGAACTCAGAGAGAATTACATAACATACTCTATATTTAAGTATATATATATATATATATAGTTATATTTTATATTTCATATATTTAATTTATGTATCTAAATATTTTCTTTGCTCTCTTTCAGGCGGACATCACTAAGTGTGTAGTCAATACAGACCCCAGTTTTCGTTCTCATTGGTTGGTGGCAGCTGCGTGCGCCTGTGGTCACTATCTCAAGGCCGTGGTCTTCTACCTGCTGAGAGAAAAATGAAGAGCAGGATAAACAAGTGACGGACAGCTGAACTCTTCAGCAGGGGCTTCTAGTCACTGCTTAAGCCTTTCACTGCTCTTAATGTGTTTACACTTGCACAAAGTTTGCACTTTGGTAACCCTTTACAATAAGGTCTCGTTTGTTAACATTAGTTAAATAACTAGTTCAAATGAACTAACTATGAACGATATATTTTTACAGCATTTAAGCTTTGTTAATGTTAGTTGATAGAAATCCAATTGTTCCTGTTAATTCACAGTGCATAAACTAATGTTAACACGCATGTATTAGTAAATGTAGGAATTAACATTATGATTAATCAATGCTGTAGAAGTATTGTTCATGTTAACCTTGTTGTAAAGTGTCACCCAATTTAGTTTAAAAGGATATTGAGCTCCAAGATGAACCGTTATCTTTAAGGTTTTGTTAAGTTTAACCTGGCCTTTTGCACTCTAGGCATTCCTTGCTGTTACCATTTTTTTTACCTAATTATGATATGCAGAATATCTAGGCCAGCGGGAGAGGAAACTATCGTGACGTTTGAATTTGTGTGTGAAAGAGAATGTTCATGTACTTGGATTAATGCTGCCTACCCCAACATTGTCTTATCAGAAAGATTGTTAATACATGTTTCACTGTCTTGAGTGGTTTTGATGCTCTAAATGCAGATTATTAACAATCAAGCTTCAAAAATCCAACTGCAATCCACAATGCAGTGTAAAAAACAATTACCAGGAGTTAGAATGCATGTAATTGAGATCAATATCAATGTTTCCCAAGGAAAACCTTCCAAAGTACTGAATGCAAATGGCTGTATAGAGATTTGGGTTGACTAAAAGATATAACATTTCAGTTCATGCCATATTTCAAGTCTGGACCTGTCACCTGTCATAGTGTTGTCTCTCTTTTATTGTAATTTATTTTTGTGTAATATTTTCACCTTACATGTGGTGGTGTTGGTGCGGCCTTGAACAATTTGTAAGATATCATGGAGCCATCACTATATTAATAACTTAACTTGGTGTCTTAAAATTGTTTCATTGTTTTGTTCTCTTGTATAGTTCAGTTTATAACAAAGTATTATGTGAAAACTACACATTGTTTGTGTATGCTACACTGAATGTATGCAAAATAAAAATATACTTTTTTTCTTTTTCCAAAAATGTATTTGCTGTGCTTTTCTTGCGGTAGGAACAGAACAACATAATAATAAAGCCTTTATGCTGATAATACTACACAACATTAGTGTAATTGGTGGAAAACGAGTGGGAGGAAGCAGTTTAGATCAGATAGAATAGTTTAGAGATATTGTTACTATGGTGATCACTCTCAACATGTGGTTTCCTTTACACAGACTTTGAGAACACTGACATGAATTAAATAATGGGTCTTACTGATTTACTGCGTTCACACAAAGCATATTAATGCAAGTGATTGCATTTATTTTACAACTTCTATCATAGATATTGGGAGAAATTGAAGACTATGATGGTCTGTGTTCATTAAGATAAATGTTAAAGCAAATCATTCCTAATATGATCCAGATTATTTTGTCAGTAATCACTGAGTAACTGTCAACCTGAAAACTTTTTTTACTTCAACTTTCTGCCTAATAATTTCCAATTGCGACGCCTCACTGACACCTAGTGTCTGTAAATGGAACTACAGGCGCTCAATAATTAAAGTTATCACACAGTACAAAGGTGTAAACAATAAAGCGATATAGCTGATATTGTTCTTGATTTTTAGAAACTATCCAGTGACAGACTTTGATCTACAAAACTGAACACGCGTGATGATAAGTCAGCCTCCTCCTATCACATACTTGTGCAGATTAGTAAAATTGACAAAATGACGAAAATGTGGGTTTGTCAAATCTGTTCAATTTACTTACACTATTGTTTCATTACACGTCTGGGACGATGAAAAAAAAAAAACTATTATAAGCAGTTTAGTTAAAGACTATAGGACGGCTCAGGGCTCAGATTTTAAAAATGCATGTATTTATTTAGTTATTTATCTAACGTTAGTTAGTTTTTGCCCAACAACATGACATGTCAGAAATAGCACATTTCACAGAATACACTTTCACGGCTGTTTCCCGGCGTTTGATGATAAATATACAATTCAAACCACAAAACATTTCTAAAAGTAATGCCAATACTGATTATGTACATGTATGTAGCGTTACGTTCCACAACTCTTTATTACTCTAGTTAGCTTGTTTATATCTGCTTCCAAGAGAAGACAACACGTCCCGCCTTAAAATAAATTCTATTGGTTAAAAACACCACCAATTACATAGAAGGGTATTTGATTGGTTACCGCAGAAATTACGCTACCTGGCCAAAGCGGAAGTGACTTCGTATTGGTCAGTACAGTGTAAGGAACACTCAACAAACAAGATAGGCTGAATCACTGTCGGGATGGATGCAGGTAAGAAAATCGCTGAAAAACAATTTGTTTTATATTTCGCTCATCTGCCCAGATGTCATGAAATTGTTAAAAAGCAAAATTCTTCTTTCGACAACCACCTACGCGCCTGTTATTGGAGAGGCCGCCTCTACAGTTTGGGATTGTGTCGTTAAATATGGTACATAGATGTCCCAACTGCTGCCAACTGGACAGTAAAACAGACCAGTCTGCTGTCAGATAAGGGATGGACACTGTTTTGTCTTCTAGATGTCACTGCACCAAATGCCACGGCCACCCGTGAAAACCGTTTGCCTGGTTTGGCTGTGTTTTAGAGTCTATTCAGCTACATTTTTTTTAGCATTACCGTTATATAGGAGCGTTCCAGCGCACGAATGATACTGTTGGGCAGTGGACGCTTTTGGGAGGTTGTCCGTGTCGTCGTCTGTTATCAAATTTCTGCCTATTCTAATAATCTGTTTGCCAGTAACATTTATCACAGGGACTTTTATGCTCTGTGCCATGTCTTTAACCCTTTGATGCATGACATCCGTTACAATTAAAGGAATAGTTCACCGAAAAGTGAACATTTTGTCATTACTTGCCCTCAAGTTGTTCCAAACCTGTCTGAGTTTCTTTCTTCTGTTGAACACAAAATAAGAACTTTTAAATAATGTTACCAACCTTCTTATGTGTTCAAAAAAAAAAAAAAAAAAACTCATACAGCCAGGGATGGAACAACTTAAGGGTATAAGTAATAACAAAATTGAAATTTTTTGGTGAGCTATCTTTTTAACAGCCGTTTTACATAGAATTAAACTTTAGAGACAAATTAAAGTTACACAGTACACAGCGGTACAAAGAAATTGGTGGGGGAAAAAATCAGGTGCCACTTTACAATCATGTTCAGTTTGTTAACATTAGTTAATGGATTAGGTATCATCAATCAACAATAAATTATAATTAAGTATTAATCTTCAATCATCTAATAATAAAGTTCATTGTTAATTTATTTTTTTATTATAAAAAATGGTTAATTTACAAATCTTGAAACTGTTAAAATGTAAAATAATAATTAACCGTGACAAATTATCTTTGATTAATAAATGCTTTATTTGTTGCATGTTTTTTCATGAAACAATATCTTTTATTACATTTGACAGATGTGAAACTCCCTCAAAGAAAATACATCATATATGAAAACACAAAAAGATTGGCTGTGATTATATGTAAATGTTAAGTTTTTTTTTTTTTCCTTTGTGATTATTATTAATTGTTTTGCATCGGATGGTTAGGCCAACTAAAAAGGTGCCAAGTGATGTTTTTGTTTTTACAAATAATTTTTTATATTTCTGTTGGTCTGTGTAAGTGGTTTAGCTTCCAGTTGATCATTGGCTTTTCCCCCAACAGCTACTCTCACATACGACTCATTGCGCTTTGGAGAGATCGAAGATTTCCCGGAGACCTCTGAGCCTGTCTGGATTTTGGGAAAGCAGTTCAGTGCTCTAACAGGTAATAAAGTGGTAGACGTTGAAGCTTTTGTGCTGCTGTGTTTGGTTCTTGTTGTTGGTAACACGATGTTCTTTGTGTCCCCAGAGAAGGATGATATTCTGGCAGACGTCACCTCACGTTTGTGGTTCACGTACAGAAAGAACTTTCAGCCAATTGGTGAGAGTCATCAATCCTATTCTTACCGTCCAAGGACTGCATTTAATTATTCATACGGATAGATAAATCTGTTTAGTTTGGTTTGTTAATGGAAGTAATGTTACAGGTGGCACTGGGCCCACTTCAGACACTGGTTGGGGCTGCATGCTTCGATGTGGACAGATGATTCTTGGGCAGGCCTTGGTCTGCAGGCACTTGGGTAGAGGTAAGGCTACCAGATTTGAAAACTTGGATTGGTGATTATGAGGTGAAATCCGAGATGTAATGTGTGTTGTATGTTTTATTAGACTGGAGATGGATTCCAGGTCAGCGGCAGAGAGCAGAATATATCAGTATCCTCAATGCCTTCATTGACAAGAAGGACAGCTATTATTCCATCCATCAGATAGGTACTACTCCTTATCTACCTGCTGCTTGAATATTATAGGAATAGTGTTAATGTAGGGCTGTCGCGATAATATTGTATATTGTAGTACCGCGATACCGAAAAGCCAACCACCGAGGAATTCAAGCAACCGGAGCAACTACGGCGTTCATATTTTCTCTTTATTTCATAAGGCTATGCACTAAACAAGCCTAAATTGACAGTGAGTGAGAGCGAGAGATCGACCGAGCATGTGCGATTACCTGTCTGTCTTTCTTCAGGTCGTCATATATTTGTGAAAAAAAGTTTGCCATACGTCCGAAGAGAAAAGTGATATCTTTGTTGTTTTGAACTATTAGTTGAATGAACTCATTGATGTTTAATGACTCACTCTTCCCGACACCCAGTGGCGTAACAATGTAACTGCACTGACTGACAGCCTGTCTAGAAGGTGTCACACAGAGACAAGCAGTGCTGATACTGGTGAAATATCAGCAGAGAAAGCCTCTCATCCAGTCAGATTCGAAGATCAGAACTAACTGTTATACCCCAACAAGCTTAGCTTATTGTCAGGTTTATGTTCTGTTATATCAGGGATGGGCAAGCTTCAACCCTAATCAAACACCTGAACAAGCTAATTGAAGTCTTCAGGATTACTAGAATGTTACAGGCAGGTGATTTTTTTTTTTTTCAGGGTTGGAGCTAAACTCTGTAGGACACTGGCCCTCCAGGACCGAAGTTGCCCATCCCTGTGTTATATGGACCCTTATTTTGACTTTCTGTTCTGTTTCCTTTAGTTCCTGTTTGCCTGCTCTGTTTAGTTTCATTGGTTACTGATTATGTCCTCGTTTGTCTCTATAGTTATTATGTATTAGTTTCACATGTCTAGTTACCTTTCTTTGTTCTTTCTTTGTCAGTTCTTGTTTATGCTTTTTGTGGTTTTTATTATTCTCCTGCATGTTCATTCAGAGTATTTGGATTATTAATAAAGCATGTTCTGTCCTGTTCTGAACATATTGTAACACTTATCACAATATTGAGCCACTCAAAATTACCCCAAGGAAAATTTACCTTGACAGGTAAATTACTGTGGATGACATGGCTTGTTCTTTTTCCAGCTCAGATGGGTGTAGGTGAGGGAAAGTCTATAGGCCAATGGTATGGCCCAAATACAGTGGCACAGGTACTCAAGTAAGTTGGCCAAGTCAATTCTATTTTTTATTATTATTATTATTATTCAAATATAAAAAAAGAAGTAATTTTTAGTCATATGAAATAGAACTGTAAAAGACTATTGAAGCTAAGTAATCTTTAAATAAACTATTGTGCTTTGCCTGTATTGGAATAAACCCATCTAAACCTTTATCCCCATCTAGGAAACTGGCAGTATTTGACTCCTGGAGCCGACTGGCGGTTCATGTAGCTATGGACAATACTGTGGTCATAGAGGAAATCAGTGAGTTTTCTTTCATAGTGCCCACATGCAATCTGCAGCCTTCTTTTGCACTAATTTAGAGGGGATTCTGTGGAATGGATTTGAGCTGACTAAACTTTACTCGTATTAGTAGCTGAAAGCATGATATAATTAGCCAGTATATTTAAAGGAATAGTTCACCCAGAAATGAAAATTCTGTCATTACTTACTCACCTCATGTTGTTACAAACCTGTATGACTTGTGCTGGCTAACATGAAAGAATATAAAGATAGAGATGACAGAATTTTTATTTATGAGTCAAGATATACATGTATATTATATAATATCACAATCTGACATGCCTCTTCTGACAGCTGTGATACCTGATTAGTGGATTATTTTTGTGTGTTTGTTTGCAAATTAGGGTTAGTACACAACAGACCAATTAGAACACATTTTCATCACAGTTAGTTTATAAATAAAATAAATAAGTATTTTTCTAGGTGGATTAATTGATTTATCTGCTATACAATGCCTTTTTTTCAATACAAATGATTTCCACAACCAAAGATGTTGTTGTTATTTTTTAAATCACTTGCCTCTGTAACTTTGCAACTCAAAAATAAATATTATTATATTCAATAAAAAAAAGAGTTTATAACTGAATGTTAATTTTAAAATGTTAATGTTAATTAGCCAGTAGATAAGTATTTGTCCCCTTTCTTTAGTATTTTGTTGAACCAGCTTCAGAGATATTACAACTATCAGCCTTGGGTCTCTCTTAATTTTGCACAATGTGAGCCATATTAGCTCATTCCTCTTTGCAAAATCACTCACTGTACCAGGTCAGTTGAGGAGTTGCAGTGGACAGCAGTTCATTCTTTCAGAGATTGAAGTCAAGACGGACTCAAGGGCATCAATTTCTTCATTTTAAGCCACTTCAGTGTTACTCTGGCAGTGTGCTTTGGGTTGTTGCCCTACTGCAACGTCCTTAGTTTATACTTTCTGGGAAAAGGGAGTAGGTGTTTAGCAGCATTCATCAAGCTTAAGAAGACTGCCAATGTCTGCTGCTGAAAAGCACCTCAGTAATATAACAGCACCACTACCATCAGCGTATTTCACTGTGGGCATGGTGTTACCTGGCTAATGTGCAGTGTTAGATTGTACAGCACACAAACAACTTTGTGTTTGAGACAAAAGTTTAACTTTAGTTTAATCAAACCACCGGGCTTTATTTCATGTCTTTTGTTTTTACAGACGACAGCTTTTCTTTATCAATTTCCTCAAAAGCTCTTTTTTTGTGCAGTAGCTTGAAGATGGTTGTCCCATAGAAATCTTTTGTAACTTGGACAGAGACCATAGCTCAATTACTGCAAATGTAAACATACCTAATGACTTTTGAAACTTGGTCAAGGTGTCTTAGATATTTTAAATTTGGAGAATTGCGAAATTGCACAAACCGTGTTTTTTATCAAGGTTGTACTACTGTACCCTTTTTTACAGGACTGTGCCATTATGTGTGTATCAGATGTTTTTAGTGTAAGGAAGATATGGACTTTCTGACTTCACAATTGTCCTAATTAGCCAATAAATGACTAAGGTATTTGATAATGGTTGTTTGTACTGGCTGTCCGTAGAGAGGCTGTGTATGCCGTGGCTGGACTTCGACAGGGGTGCATGTGCGGCTTCAGAAGAGCCTCGGGAGATGAATGGTGATCTGGAGGGGGCTTGTGCTCTGGCAGAAGAGGAGACGGCTTTGTGGAAACCCCTTGTTCTGCTGATTCCTCTAAGACTGGGCCTCAGTGATATCAATGAAGCTTATAATGAACCACTCAAGGTAAATCTATAACAACATCTGATGTATGAATAGATGTTAACACTGTTAAGCGCGAGTAAAATGTCATCTACTATTGCTTTAGCAAATTCAGGTTTGCCAAATGTTGGGCTTTATCTTTATATCTTATCCACAGCAATGCTTCATGATGCCTCAGTCTTTAGGAGTAATAGGTGGAAAGCCAAACAGCGCTCACTACTTCATTGGCTTTGTAGGTGAGCAGGTTTTCTTAAAGCTAAACCTCTAAAAAGTCTGTTCTCAACTGGTGGCTCTTGACCCAAAATGGTTTACCAGTCCTTCTGATGAGAATCTAAGATGACAGGGAAAAACAAACAATACAAAATGCAAAAAATAGGTGCAGCTTATCATTTATGGTAGTTTGGATGGCAAAATAAGTAAACATTTCCCATACCTTTTGTGATTGGCCGAACCAACTATCGCGTGCGAATAAATATCTACGGTAATTTGCAGCAAATTCGTCTGGTTTACTTGGTAGCTAGTCAAATTAGGCAGATGCTAACATGTACAAGTAGTGTCGTCCTCAATTTTGAAAACATTAAATATTATTAACTCCGTCTGCTGAAATAGTGTACAACCCAGATTACATTGTTAAATATGGTTTGTCAATCAGTGTGCTTAATGCTATAAATATTTTTTTTTAATACAATGACATTTTTGTTTATTTGTGTATAACAAACCATTTTGTGTTGTGTTATGACCCCCGAGATAGTCTAGGGGTTCAGGGGTCTAACATTTAACATTTACATTAAAGAGAAACATATATAATTTATATGTGCTGTACAAAGAACCACCAATCAAGGTAACTGTGCAAAAAGCCAATACCTTTATTCAGTACAAGAAGGTTAAAGGCAAGAATTAAGCAAGACAAACACGTAAAGAATATAAAGAATATATACAGTGGATTTACACAGTATTTCTATTAGATAGTCAATACCACAAGGAGGAAGGGGGGGCGTGGGCGGCGCCAAAGAAAAGAAAGTAACAAAACCAAAAGAAGTCTGACTTTTAAATAAATAACCTCTAACCCTAACTAAGAAAATAAAGGATGCCACTTCATGTCCAATGTAAAATATGAGTTGAGCACTACTGTTTTACTGGGAGGTTTATCTGTGTAGTAGAGATTATGTAAATGTTAAATGCTGAATGGCAGCATATTGTGTTTCAAACGGCTTCATTATATTTTCTTATTGATGGCGCCCTGCAGGTGAGGAGCTCATTTATCTAGACCCCCATACAACTCAGCCAGCTGTGGACCCAAGTGAAGGGGGTCATTTCCCAGACGACTCCTACCACTGCCAGCACCCTCCCTGCCGAATGCACATCTGTGAGCTTGACCCCTCCATTGCTGCTGTAAGTATAGCTTGATGCAGAAAAAAACTAATTCTTCATTTCAGTATCCTTTATGTCCACCTAGTAGTACTCAAGTGATAAACCCATTAGAATGATTTCTGAAGGATCATGTGACACTGAAGTAATGGCTGTATTCACATTATACAGCTGCAGATGTATATAGAAGTATTTTTATTTCCTAAAGATAAATATGTATTTATTCTTGGATTATCATTCCATTTTCCTCTGTTGCCTGTGCTCACTTAGACTGGAAAACGTTGGGATTAAATTGGTAAATACAGTTGTTGTTAGGTGTCAAAAACAGTAAAAAGTAATTTCCTTTGAATAACAGTATCATCTATGCCAAATTTTGTCCATCAGGGCTTTTTCTGTCAAACAGAGGATGATTTTGATGACTGGTGTGCACAGATTCGTAAGGTACTTCAGCCAAAAATGGCTTCTTTTTTTCGTAGTCTCAGTTCATGTTTGTTCCTCTGGCTCACTGTTCACTTTTGTTTTTCCCTTGTACAGGTTTCTAACTGTAGAGGTCTTCCTATGTTTGAATTAGTAGACAGTCAGCCGTCTCATCTAATTGGCGCCGATGTAATTAATCTTACTCCAGGTAATCTCTAATACTGCTTGTTCAGATTCAGAATTCTAAGATTTACATTTATAAATACACACTATGTTATTTTTCCTTAACAGAATTTTCGGATTCGGACCGGCTCGAGCGCTTCTTTGATTCTGAGGATGAAGAATTTGAAATCCTGTCTTTGTGAGGAACAGTTGCATTTGCCAGACTTTCAGAGTTCTGTGGTAAAGCCTCCTCAGAGGAAAGAGCAGAATACCATTGACGTCCAAGGCCACTGTGGAATAGTCACCTGCGTCAAAACACACAGCTTTCTTCTTTAACAGCTATACTGACTGCTCTCTGTCACCCTGAGTGAGCCGAGGTCAGGTTTCATGGTCACAGGCACTCAGGACCATCAGTATGTATGTACTTTGTCGCATTTACGTGTATCCATATTGAGTCTTAACACTATAGATTAATTTTTAAGTGATATGGTGCCTTTTTACCCCCTTAACTTAAACACAGGTTTGCCATAACACATTTTATGGTTTTTTCGGTTAGGAGACCTGCTAATCAAATTTGATTCAGCATTTACTCTCAACCAATGGAAGTCAGTGAAATTTTGGACCTGTATCAAATTGTAAATGACAGCCAAGGAAGGTTGGGCATTTGCAGACTGGGTGGGATTGCTCGTGTAATTATACAAGAATGAGTTTGTCTTAATGTTTAAAATCTCTGTATACACAAGTTTATTTTATGAATATTTATTTAATCATTAAAAAATAAAAATATCTTAGGTTTTTCAACTATTCAACAGTGACAGAAAAACAAAAGAAAAGTTTAAGGTTTCAGAGCAGGTGGAGATCTGTTCACTTCCACAGCTCTCCAATTGGCTGATTCTCAGCTAAACTGATGATGTCTTCACTCAGAAGCTTAATATCTTTGTGCACCTCTTCTATGGTCCTTGCAGCATCAATCACCTAGACGAAGAAAAACAAAAGATAAATATTACACTAATTCAAAGATAGTTACCTACTGTAAGTGTACAATAATTAGGATTACACTAAATAAATCACCTTCCAGTTGATTGAGGAATCTTGCATGAGCTCTTCGAACCTTTGTGAAACTGTGCGTTGGAAAGCGCTCGTCTCATAACGTTCAATTCCATATTCTCCACGGTTTGCCGCCATATTAGGATTGAGTTGCAGAAACATCACCAGGTCTGGTTTTGGAAGGCCCACATCTGGATTCATGCACCACTCCAGAGAGAAGCCCTGAACATGTAAAACAACTAAATTAATGTCTCTACGTCTGCTTAGATTCAGATCATGTTAACTGTTCCAAAAAAAATAAAAATAACTTAATGATCATTTTAAGAATATACGCTACATTTAAAAAAATATATATTTGGGGGTTGTAAAAATGACTGCACTTTACAATAAGGTTTCATTAACAATACAGGTGCTGGTCAACGAATTAGAATTATTTTAAATAGTGCAATCATGAAATTCTTTGAATGCATTTTTTGTGCAGAAAGCAAATCAGGTGTTCACCGCACCTGTCCTACTCGTTAGACTAATGACAGAACTCGTTATCTGGAAAAAAATTTGCTCAGCTGAGCTTTCCAAAAGGCCCATTTAGGCCATTTAACTGTGACACTGTTGTTTTATTGAATTAGAATAATGGTGAAAGCGTTTCATTGAATTGCAATAATTTTTATTATAATTACAATCATCACTTTCTCAGTATTTTGTGGCTGCCCCTTTGGCTTGTATGACTGCCTGAAGTCTCCGCGGCATCGATTTGACCAGCTTGTCGCAAGTTTCCGCACTCACAGCTTCCCAGGCAGTGGCGATGTTCTGCTTCAGTTGGTCCAGCGTAGTAGGCTTTCTGTCGCGAATTTTCCGCTTGACGATGGCCCAAAGGCTTTCAATGACATTGAGGTCAGGCGAGTTGGCCGGCCATGCCAAAACTTCAAGCTGTTTTTTAGTGAACCAATCTTTGGTCGACTTTGCCGCATGAGCCGGTGCAAGATCCTGTTGAAATATGAAGTCTTCTTCGCCGAACTGTTCCTCAACAGTCGGAATCAGGAACGTTTCCAGAACATCTTGATATACGGCAGCATTGACAGTCTTCTTGAGGAAGCAGAGTTTCCCTACACCTCGAGCGGACATGCATCCCCAGACCATAACGCTCTGGGGAAACTTGACGGATCTTTTCACGCACTCGTGGTTGTAGGTTTCGCCACCACGACGCCAGACACGAGGACCTTGGTCACCGAAGGAGATGCAGAAGCGTGATTCGTCACTGAAGACCACTTTCTGCCAGTCTTCAGCAGTCCACTCGCCGTGTTCTTTGGCCCACTTCAGCCGTTTCACCATTTGTTTCTTGTTCAGCATCGGTTTTACTGCTGGAACGCGAGATTTGAAGCCGAGTTCGCGCAGACGACGGTAAGTGGTTGATCTGGAGACGTCAGCGCAGGTCTGCTTGTTCCACAAGTCGGTGAGCTCGGAAGTGGACTTGAACCGGTTGCTGACTGCGATCTTTCTCAGCTGCTTGTTGTCGCGAGCAGAAGTTTTTCGGACGCCGGAACAGTTGGTGCGCTTGCTGCAGTTTTTCTTGAGAGCTTTGCAGACGGAAGACTGGCTGATGCCGAGCTGCTCAGCAATTTTAGTTTGGGTCAAGCCTTGTTGGCGAAGGGCTTGAATTTGAGCCACTATTCCGGTTGAGAGGTCGCGCTGCTTACCCATGATTGATTTTACAACTTAGAAATTCTACTCAACCCTGACTTTATACTGCACAGTGAACACTCTTCACAGAAAACAAAAATTTGAGCATTTATTCTAATTCAATGAAACGCTTTCACCATTATTCTAATTCAATAAAACAACAGTGTCACAGTTAAATGGCCTAAATGGGCCTTTTGGAAAGCTCAGCTGAGCAAATTTTTTTCCAGATAACGAGTTCTGTGATTAGTCTAACGAGTAGGACAGGTGCGGTGAACACCTGATTTGCTTTCTGCACAAAAAATGCATTCAAAGAATTTCATGATTGCACTATTTAAAATAATTCTAATTCGTTGACCAGCACCTGTAGTTAATGTATGACCTAACAATGAACAAAACCTTTGTTACAGTATTTATTAATCTTTGTTAATGTTAGTTAAACAAATAGTCGTTCATTGTTAATGTTATTTTACAGTGCATTAACCGTTTACAAACAATTCTGATTTTAAAGCGGCAGTCCACAGTGTTTCCTTTGTCGACATCTCTGTTCGAAATCTGCAATTGCAGTCATTTGCGGAATTATCAACTTTACTGCGCGGATGAATCCAATGTTTTGAGGAGAATGTGCAGCTGTCAATCACCGCGCTGTGTGGATACTGTCATTCAGAATCACAGATTCTACTTTTTGGAAGAATGACCAACATAATCCTTTTTACCCCAAATTGTCATCTGAACAATTAAGTAACATCCACTTTTGTTCTTCTGACCAACTAACTGAAAAAAAAGCATTGCAGTAAATCACGCTGATTAAATCTAACGATCGATTATCATATCACGTCAAAACGTGCAAATTATACTTAGTTCTCAAATTGTTAATAACAACATCATTGCATTCCGGTTGCAGTCTCTTTTTCCAAACTCTCAGTCCAAAGTCTTTTGCATTTTACAGCGGGTGAATCTGTTGTCACTGGTGATTGTCGTTTGAACCTTTCTGGATCCGCCATCAAATTAATAAGTTTAATTATATCAAGTGCTGTGAGAAAAGGCTATAAATCTCCACCTCCAACATCCTCACACGCAATATAGCTTATACTAGCCGAGACTCCTCCTTTATGTGTACAGATGTGATGTAATGACGCAAAGACATGCTCGAATTAAAAACATTATTACAAGCTTACCGTTTTGAATCGAGCTAAGGCAAACAGACAGTTTTGAACACTGGCTGGTTATGTACTTGCTCAAAATTATTTTGGATAATTTTTAACCCAAAAAAAGTTACGGACTGGAGCTTTAATGTATTTTAAAATGAACATTAATTTAGATTAATAATTGCTGTAGTTATTGTTCATTCTTAATTCATGTAAACTAAAGTTATTACAAATGAAACCTTATAGTAAAGTGTTACCAATGTTTTTGAGAGGTCTCTTATGCTCTCCAAGGCTGCATTTATTTGATCGAAAATACAGTAAATCATTGTGAAATAATCTTTTAAAATAACTTCTATTTTAATATTAGAAAATGTAATTTATTCCTGTGATTTCAAAGCTGCATTTTCTACAGCCATTAGCCCTGCATCATATCCTTCAGAAATCATTCTAATATCCAACATTTCTTCTTCCTATCAATGTTGAAAACAGTTATGTTAATGTTGGTGGAAAATTATAACTAATTCAATTTGATATAAAATGTAAAATTCCTAATTCAAAACTAAAAAAATCTTACTGACCCCAAACTTTTGAATGGCAGTGTATATGAACATCCTTTATACAGTAACACATTTGTTTTACTCTCCCTGTGTATGTTAAAGTTACATTAAAGTATAACATTAACACTCACAGGCTTGGCACTAGTAAAAGCCACTCCTGAAAACGCATAGCGGTCCACCACTAGATTAATCCCTTGTTCCAACTTCTGTTTCATCAGAGGCCTGAAGTTAGAAAACAGACTGATTGGTTGACAGATAGATCGGTCGAATGATACATCAATGAAACATTCACGTGCATGCACTTTACTGTATTAATAAAACTGGAGTGATAACCTACACCATCTCCCATCGGTTTGCAGAAAACAGCAGGTGAACAGTGTGATCCTCCAGATTACTCTTCTTCTCTAGGTATGAACTGATGAGCTGACCAATCTTAGTGGTTCTGTCTGTGTAGAAAACAATTCATCCTCAGTACATGAAATACAAACACTGCACATGAAGACAAAACAAAACCCAGTGAGCTGCCATGCGTGAAGTTAGTTATAGATGTATGTTTTCTGTTATTTTATATAACTTGCATATTGATTTCACAAGCGTTGCACCAATGTTGTTTATAAACAAGAGCTGCAAATACTGCGGGATGCTTCACTATCACGTTATTATTTCATAGTCTGTCTAGCTAGGTAAAGCTCCACAAACAGCCTGGTTTTCACCTGGAAATCGCATTATTTCTGCCGCTCGTCCGCTCTGCTGTAACGCCTGCACAAGTGTTTGGCATTGCGTGGTTTTCCCGGCTCTGTCAACTCCTTCCAGAACAATCAAAGCTCCTCTTCTGCAAGACATGGCTCTTGAAAACAACTGAAAATGTGCAACAGTAAGGAGGAAATGCTGACACTGGTTAGCAAATCAATTCAAAGCCGTGGTCTCTTTACGCGGTTCTTTTCTTCTTCTTCTTCGGTTTTTAAATGGTGGTTGACAACTATTTGTTGCATTACCGCCACCGCTGGACTGGAGTGTATAACAGGATTTACATTTCTCTATAAAATTAAAATCTTTTTAAAAGCCCTGTATTCTTTAAAAACAAAACCGAAAAATTAAAAATCTTCCTAGCATTTCTTTGTAAAATATTTCTGTATTCAAAGATAATTTCATTTCATTACTTGAGCAATAAGCCTCTGCCTTTCTTGGTGATATTTCTGACAATGAATCAAAACATGCTCTACTGTTTCTGGGCTACGTCTGAGACAATCCTCACAGTTACCATCTACATGTTTTTTCATTAGAAATAAGGTACTATTTAGTCTGGTATGCCCAATTCTCAGCCTGGACAACACTAACGTTACTTCCTCAGTCAAGTTACGGGTGGTAACTGAATCTGCAATCTTTTTTACTTTGTTTAGGCTGTATATTAAAAAGATGTCTCCCAAATGATTCAAAAGAATTATTCTTCTTCTTTCGTTTTTTGGCGCGTTACATCATAGACATAATAAATGCATAGACGCTGGAGCCATAGACAGTAAAAGAAAGGCTGGAGCGTACGTCAACGACGCCGCCATATTGCGGAGGGCAACTTTCTCATACTTAAAAAAAATATATATATTGCAATAACAGACAGAACAAGTCGATACATACAAGAAATATAAACAATCTTTCAAAACAAAAGAGAAATTATGGTTCAGAATACATTAATAGAGGAAATGTGAAAGAAATTTAAATCTATTCAAAAAGAAAAAGAGAGTAAGAGAAGAAAGAAAAGAAAAAAGAAGAGGGCACAAAAAGAAAAAAAAACATTAAGGGAGAATATTAAACATGGCACAAATTCTGGATGTTTTCATTGCTTTCTTGTTAACAGAAGTTGAAATTGTATTTAAATACATCTTCAATTCTTCTTTGAAAAAGCTAAAGTGGGGTTTACTTTCATATATTTACATTTATGGATATGAAACTTTCCAATATATAAAAGAAGGTTTATACAAAAACATGCATTAATTAGATTCTTGTCTTTGACATAAAACCCCAAAAGAATGTGTCTATATGATAAAGACTTTCTCATAGGCCTACTTCTCATAACGAGAATTGCCACACAATTGAAAACAGGTCTCTAGGAATTACCTTTCACAAGCAAGACTGAACATTTGTTTCTGGTTGTATTTGGTCATAATATAATTAGTAGCCTAGTAAAGTTCAGAGGAGAAAAGCGGCGAAATTAGAAATGCTTTATTGTGTCACGAAATGTAGTTTTAATAGTTTTTCAGTCGACAATGTAGTTGACAATGTAGTTCAGTCGACAATGTAGTATTATACATAAACTATATGCTATTATCAAAATTCTTCCCTTTTAAATCTTCCCTTGTCTGGCTTTTGCTCTCTGAGCAATGCCTGAACTTTGTATTTTGAGCACTTCTTGCGTCGTTCTTCCCTCTTCTCGATGACTCGCTTGCTTTAGTCCTCAGATGTAAGTCGCTTTGGATAAAAGCGTCTGCTAAATGACTAAATGTAAATGTAGTTGTTTAAAGCTCAAATCTGTGGTTTATTTATAAAGATAGCGCCTATTTAAAAATTTGATCTGACGTTTTCGGAGTTGTTTGATTCAGGCCGCTCAGCGCTCATGTACCCCGCCTGGAACAGCCTTACCTCGGCTAGTGCTTCTGACGTTCGCGCTGGCTCGGATGTCTCTAGTGGTTAAACATGAGATATAATTCGTCATGTGTATATCTCAAAAAGAGGCAGGGTTGTGTCATTTTATTTTATATAGCCTATTTAGGAATATTTTAAAATATATCAATTATTTTATACATTCTCTTCACTGTATGTAGGCCTATATGAAATAAAATGACACAAATCTTTTTGTTAAATGTCAGTTTAATGATCAATATTATAATGTTTCATATTTTTTATATTGTCTATATTATTCTGCAATTGATATTACATTGTATTTGCTGTTCTTATTATTATTGTAATATTATACCACTTGCAATTATCAATCTATTACAGCTATGCTGTTAAATTATTGTACTATTCATAGTCACCATCTAACTTATTTTTTTATTGTCTAATATACTGTAATTGATATTTCTTATTCCATTGCTATAATTATAGTTGGCTATTATACATAAACTATATGCTATTATCAATATTTGTATTATTATATAATGTACTTATATGATATTATATAATTATACTATTCATTACTATTTTATTTTACTATTTTATTTTATTTACCTTTCATTACTATACTGTTTGTTTATTTTATTGACTAAACTATTTACTATTACTTCTCACTTTATCTTATATTTGCCATTTTTCGGTTCTTTTCTCAAAAACAAACCACCCTTATCGTCCTCCCACTTCTACGGTGTCCGCGAAGGTTCACATTATTCTTCACGAATCCGAACTCCCTTGTCAGTGAAGAGTTTATCTTTTTTATCTACTATCTTTATCTGAGTTTTCACTTATCATCCTCAGACATTAGGGTGTGGCAGATGTAATATATTATATATTATTTACTTACTTATTTAAAGTGTAATGAAGTATCAATATTCATTGTAAGCATTTGTGTCTTTATTGATTTTTTTAATGTCTGAATGCACATCAAATATGTAACTTATTTTGATGTAAATGTTATATATTAAAAAACGTTAATAAGAGAGTGCGAAAAATCTCTTCCAAATCATGTTTACTTTACCTAAATAAACGTTTATAATAAACCTATAAAAATTATTTACATTTTAGCGCTTTTGTTCCCTTTTTTATTACAATTGCAAAATTGCAAACCACATTTTCTAATGCTGAAACACAGCAGTAACTAAATCAAGTAACAAGTAAAATAAAATTGAAATTAAGGGTATCACATTTAACAGAGGTCGTTCTTTGGGCTTTTTGATATTTGTTTTGTTACTCCGGGACAGATTTCCATAGAGCAGATTCCACGTCACGTCATATCCGTACACAGTGGAACGTTTCAGCTATGGACAGCTATGGTGCAGCCAAAGACCATTTTTGATATTGGGCCTATATATTTATTTGTAATATTATTATTTTTTGTATAGCCTATATTTTATATTTGTGTGTATAAGTTATTGTTATTTAAATAGTTGTTGGCCAGATTTAGCCAATGAGGTGCAACTGTAAAATGCAAAGAAGGCTGTGCATGATGCAGGCCTCAACTAGCTTTTGTTTAGCTGCATGGCTTTATTTGCATAACCAGGGAAAACATGTTTTGTTGCACCTTTGGTTGAATAGTTAACAATAAATTCTGCATACTCTGATTAGCCTCAGGAGTTCAGCAAAATCCTGCAAAACCACCTGAAGAAGATCAAGACAGGGTTGGAGCTAAATGAGGGTGAGTAAATGAAAAGACTTTCATTTTGGCTGAATTATTCCTTTAATCCTTTTTATGCATTATTGTTATTTTTTTATATATATATTGCAAGAATATATTTATATATTGTTTTTGCAAAACATAAAATACACAGAGAAAATAGTTGAACAATGGCTAGCATACAAAAAGGTGATTTTTTTCATTAATCATCAGAAAAAGAAAACCTTAAAGATGAAAAGTTAATTTTGTTTTATAGCAGTTCTTCAATAAAAACGTAACATAACAACTAGTATAGTATATTTCCCCTCGTTTTTAAGTATCAGCTATAATATGTTTGGTTTTTTTAAGGAGGGGCAGAACAAATTTCTCTACTTTCAAAGGGTGTTGTCACTAAAAACAACTGAAACCCACTGATATAGGGTTAAAAGCTGGACTTGTTATTGATGAGCAGTCGAGCTGTCAGACTCTGCTCTTGTGACAGTGTTTAAGAGCATCAGCCAAGGCCTCCAACAACATGTCCACATTGGCCTTGCTGCTGTTACATCCCATCAGTCCCACACGCAAAACCTGTAAAATAACGTGAGAAACAAAACATTTACTGTGCATTTACAATCGATGATCCATGTGTCTCTTTAACACACTATATCAATGTACTTGGAATGACTTTTGTCTGTCAGTTATGATTAATTGTAATCCAATAGCTTCTCACCATGCCGGCAGATGGTCCCAGACCCCCAGAGATTTCAATGTTATAGGTCTTCATTATGTAGCCAGTGATTTCTCGCCAGTCATATCCCGGGGGAGCTACTATTGTGGTCACTGTTGGCAGTCTTGCTTTCTATAAGACACAAGAAGTGTTCAAAACAGGTAATACTATAGTTACACTCATATAAAATGTTTTTTTGTGATCTTTGAGGCTCCTTTTCTTCTACCAACCTTATCCTGCACAAACAGTTTTAGGCCCATTTCTTCTAAGCCTTTATGGAAGTACTCTGCGACCTCTTTGTGTCGTTTCCATGAGTTTTCAAGACCCTATAAAAAAATATGCATCAAACAAATGCCTTTTTTTTTTTTTTTTTTTACAATATTTACATTTCTCCAAGAGCTTCAAGTGCTTGATTACCTAATGATCTTCTGAAGCACTTAAACTCACCATGAAATCATAATTGACAATTCTTGTTTTTATAAGGAATATTTCAGTATTTATTTAAAATGATTTATCTGTGCACATCAGCAACATCTCTTCTCTTCACTGATGATGTGTTTACTGGTTTGAGGGCGGGACAACCTGTCACTCACATGAGATCACAGCAATAGCAAACCATCCAATCAATTTTCAGTGGACAAAATCAAGTCCCATCCTACATTTTTTTTCTTGTTCGAGGAGCCGTTTAACTTGGATCAATGGGGAAAAGTGGGAATAGTCACGATCGGGAAGAAAAGACTATCGCAACATCATTTCCATACTGACTTTAGTTTCATGCACAATGTAACTTTGGCCCTCTATAGCAGTTGAAGCATAAAACTTGACTTTCTGAGGAACATTGGGTCTTAAAATGACACAAGAATCTGTGTACAATCTATTCATGATTCATGATTTTCATACTACAATGCAAAAATAAAAAAAAATCTGATCCCAAAATCTGGGTGGTATTATAAACATAAAAATGTAAATTTTATACATAGATATTAAATCTATTTGGTCAGAGTAAGGTGCATGTTATATATATATATTATATTACTCCAAGTTAATTTACATAAGAAAGAGATTTACCGCAAATTTATGTGCAAAAATGGTATGCTATAATATTGTGGTTTTGACAGCTTGTTTGTTTTCCCCTGATAATAAAATATGTTGTCAAAACTGTTATTGATTTCATTCATTAGATGCATCCCGGACCCTTATATTTCTCAGATTTACTAATTCATGTTGATGTTTTTGGCCGTTTGCTCTTCAGATGATCATAATGCCAGGAAAAAATTAAAATGTGAGTATAAGGCAGAATATGATCTCACAGTCTCTGCGAGGATGGCCAGACTCTCCCGCAGACCGTAGAAAGAAGTTATAGGTCCGGTGTGGTGATAACTGTACAAACAACAGGTACAGCAACTTTATCATATATGTGCAATATTCTTTCATTGTTTTTAATGATAGAGAATTTACTTCAAAGGTCTGAGCATATTGATTTTTGTATTGGTAAACAAAAAACAAACAGTGCTTGGTAAAAGTGGTCCTTACGCGCGTACAGGCTTGTCATCACAACCCCAATAATTTGCCAACCAGCTCATGTCCAAGAAGTAAGAGATTGGTTTTGTCCTTCTGTTAAATATTTTCTGGCTGTTTTGACAAAAAACAAAAAACATTTTAGAGATTTGTTTTTCCCACATAATACTTGGAGCTGTTTTGTCTCACCATGCTCTCTCACTGAAGGAGATTGGTGCAGTTCCTGGAGGGGCGTTCAAGACCTTCTGAGAGCCAGTATACATAATATCTATACCTAGAAATACAAAATGTAAATTTTAAATCATGGATCACAGGCAATGTTTGTGGTGCCAGAACGTGCAATGTGGTGATACCTTGCTCATCCATGCAAATAGGAGTACCTCCCAACGCCGCTACTGAATCAACCAGAAATAAACAGTTGTACCTAAGTGACAGAACAGAATTTACTCAAAAAACTAAATAAACAATACATTTCTCACACACACACACACACACACACACACACACACACACACACACACACACACACACACACACACACACACACACACACACACACACACACACACACACACACACACCCACACACACACACACTAATCCATGCATGCATGCATCCATCCATTTTAAATTTTTTGAAGCAACCAACCCTGATTTGGATTTAGAAAACTTTCTGCTATGTGGATAAATGTAAGTTATTAACTACTTGTTAGTCATGGCAGAATAGGGGGAGGAACGTTCTCATTCAAGACGGCATTTGATTGGACAAAAATCTGTAGTGCAACATGAGTCATCAATAATTTATGAAACCCGATACCGATATGAAAATTTTGGTCAATACCGATAATTCTTTATATATGAAAGCCGATAACCGATATATTGGCCGATAAATCTAAATCCACATTTTTATATCATTTTTGAGAGCCTGATTACAAAAACAAAAGTCTCACCATTAAACTCCATGTCCCAAGCACACAATTATAATATTCTCATTATAATTTTATGTAGCCTATACGACAGACTTGCACTGCACATGTTGCACTTAACTGTATTTAGTGATTCCAATCATATTTCAAGCAATTCAAAACCATCATGGCGAACAGTGCACATCTGAAGTGTCTCAGCTGAAGGAAATAATCCATTATTTATCGGCTTTAAAATATCGGCCAAATTTCTTATCAGGCCGAAAAAAAATGAACATAATATCGGCCAATACCGATATGGTGGCCGTTATATCGTGGCATCGCTACATTTTTCTCTGTTTTCTCAGATGAGAAAGACCATTGCATTTGCTAAAGGGGAATTTTGAGATGACCTCAAAGTTAGTAAAATAGACTTAAAGCCGAAAACTTTTGATTTCAAGGAGTCTTAATCTGAAGCATGTTGAGAAATCAAAGCTCTATTCAGGAGGAGATGTCTCACTTGTGGCAAAGGTCACCTATGCCATCTATGGGGTGGACCACTCCTGTGGAGGATTCTCCATGTGTGAGGAAGAACACCACTGGCCTGTATTTGTCTAATGCCTTCAAAACAGTACAAACATGGTTAATCATATGTAGTTAATACATAAGTGGTTAATGAATCATCATTTTTACCTGCTCAATTTCCTCATTTGTAAAGTACCCACCAGCAGAGGTTACAACTGTGTTCACCTTGGCACCTGTTGAAGAGTGTTCGATATATGAATTGATGATGTTCTGAATCACCTTTATAACTCTCAGATCCAGGCTTTGTAGTAAAAGCAGAGCCAGTACCTATCCTCTCGGCGATCTCCGCAGCCCTCTCCCCCCATATGCCATTGACTGCTATGAGGACACTTTCTCCGGGCTCCAGTGAGTTAAAGATGGCACACTCCATAGCAGCATGACCCGGTCCACTAACAGCCAGAGTCACTCGGTTCTGGGTCTGAAACGCATACTGAATGCCACTCTTGATCTGATTCATAATCTGAAAGAAAATTAAACAAACACTGAATGAATGTCATTGATAGATATTAATTATGACAGGATTATATTTACGAAAATCTCTTATAAACAAGCTACTTTACAATATGTGTTTTACAATGTCACTAACCACATCCCAGTCATTTTACTTATGTTGCAGTTGTTTAAAGTCCCCCTGTAGTCAATCATTTTGTCTTTGATCACCAAAATGACATATTTAAAGTTTTTTCCTGCAAAATCTTTAAATATCTTGTATTCACCCTTGCTTCATTTTAGTAGGCCTATTGGCGGAGCAATGAATATGCTAATTAGCCCCGCCTCCACTCACGCCAGCTCAGGGATTCAGTCGGTCAACTTACTGATGTAAACGCTGCACAACGCGGTATCACTCTTTACAACATCGGACACATAACGGTAAATAATTAATTTGATTAGCCTTTTGCTTGACGATGTTATCAAACAGCTAGGAATGTGTTGCTAGCGTTAAAAACCTATGTTTCCGTTTTCCATCTCAGAGTCAGACAGTTGCCTCCTGAAAATCAGCATCCTTAGAACAACTCAGAACATCAGTGGAGAAAGGCATAGTTCATCATAGCATCGTATATTAAACTATATTGCTAAATCTACCCAATTTTTCATATCAACAGAAAAATATACCGAGATAACCTGTCATCTCCCCTGCTAGTTCAGTGTTAATGATATGCTAAAGCCCGCCAGCACATTGACGCGATTGGTTACAAGGTAGTTTGTACTCAGCAATGGCGTTGACTTATGAATCTGCACATGGTGTGTCTTAAAGCACATTAGAAACATCACATAGACATAAAAACAACATTAAAAACTTGATTTTTACCACAGGGGGACTTTGAATAATTATAGTTCACTCAAACATGTGAATCAAAACATTCTGTCATCATTTACTCAGCCTTATGTACCAAACCTGTATGACTCTCTCTCTTCAGTGGAACAAAAAAGAATATATTTGAAGAATGTTGGTAATCTGTTTTTGATCATATTAGACATGCCTCAAAATATCTTCTTTTACTGTATGTTCCACAGAAGAATAAAAGTCATACATTTTTCGAACAGCATGAGGTTAAGTATGATGATCGAATTTTGATTGTTTTGGTGAAACAATCATTTGGCCCTTCAAGCCAATATGATATGAGTGCACATGTACTGTATTACCTCAATGGTTTCTGCATGCAGGTGGCCCAGCATGGGCTGTGCTCCGGCTGCTGAGATCCGTGCGGGTACATTGGACGGTCCTGGTCCGAGCATAAGTCGTTTGGGAACGATTAAAGGCTGTAACAGACATTGCGGTGGAAGAACAGACAGAGAGGACATATTGCTGCCGGCACACTGACAGACTGAGGCAATGGTTAACTCATGTAAACTGTGGGCAAACCTTTCATCTGTTGACCAATCATCTCACTTTGAGTCGTGACATACGTACAGTATAACAGTGCAGCTGAGCAGTGACAGCAGCTGTTCAATTAACTGACATTTCATTTGCCTTTAGATTCTATTTCAACTAAACACCACTAACACTGAAAGCCTAAAACCTTAAATCGTTTTTTCGGTTATAATTTTTCACTTTAAACCACAAAGTAATTAAATACAAAAGCAAATGTAAATATAGGGCAAAAGCATTCATTTATTATTCCAGCATCTTTTAAATATTGAGCATTTCGTGTATATAATACTTTGACAATGTCTGCTTATAAAAACAAGAGCAAACCACAAATGTCAGTTTAATTTCACAGATAAATCATTTTCAAAATTCTTTATTCATTTATTTTTTACATGTAAATTAGTAAAGCAATCTTTAAAATTCACTGTTTTGCTCTGAAGTTGGGTTAAACATTAGTTACTTATCTTTGCAGTGATGTAATCAAATTGTATTTACATTTCCTGAAGAAATATACAATTGCAATAGAGCTAAGTTAACAATACCGGTATTCATTGATTAACTAATGAAAATGACAAAAAATGCACCATATTCATATTTAATTCTGTATTTTAATAGCTCAAAAATATATTTAACATTTATGTACTTTTTCCCCCCCAAATTCCATAGCAATTATAAACAAAATTTCAACTTTAAAACCTGCTCCAAAATTCCATGAAAAAGGTTGAATACTTAAAAAGATATTTTGAAGAATAACAAAACAGTTTTGGTTCCCATTGACTTTAATTGTATTGACAAAAAAATACAATAGATGTCAATGAGAATAGAAACTGTTTAGTTACCAACATTCTTCAAAATATTTTGTTACACAGAAGAAACATAAGTCGTAATGGAACGTCATGAAGGGGAGTAAATGACAATTAAAATTTTTGGGTGTACTATCCCTTTATGATGATATGTTAGGTTAATTATGAAATGTATTATTATTAATAATGATTGTTTGCAATGTTTGTTTAAAGTGTTATCCAGAGCATTTTTGGAATATACCACAACCATTCACAATAATCAATTAAAATAAATTAATTAAAAAAACAAATTACTCTATAATTATATGCCACATAGTAGCATTGTTGCATAGCAATTCCTGACCTGACAGTGGTGAGTATATAGACCTTATGCGCCAGAGAAACAAGACATCTTTAGAATTTTGTCTTTGAACTTCCGTTTTTGCGGTAGCTCTGTATATTTCCATAGCATCGCTGTCGAAGAGTGATTAGCCGGTAAAATGGATTTACTTATTGTAGAGTTATCGAAAGTTATCATGAGAATTGTAGGCTAATGTTTAAAGGGGATGTCATAACAAATGTCAGTAGACCGGTAAGATTTGAAAACGAGCGTTTCATTCATAAATCGGTAAGATCTTACCTTCATGCTGTGGAAATACAAACCGGAAGGGGCGGGGCTACATAAGGTCTATTTGGCGAGATATGTAATGAACGTGTTTCATGTGCTTTGTTCACAGTGGTGCCGGTGTCTTGTGCTGAATAAAGAGATGCTTCCCTAGAGGCTGAGTGCTGAAAGAGCCATGACTGTAAACCAGCCTCCCTCGGACTATAGTGCCCATCACCTTCCCTCGCAGAGCAAGGCCAAGGTATGGAGTCAACTGAAAAGAGAGAAAAAGTTAAAAATTCCCTTCATCAGTATCTGAAAAGTCATATCGGTTTATGTACAATTTGACCTACCTTGTTTTTGTGATGTATGTTGTCTTCTTTCACCTAAGAAATGAAATGACACACATTTACTTGCAGGCTCCAAAAAGCATCTCAGTGTATTTTCAGAAAAACACAGAATTATAGAAACAAGCATGTTCTATCTTGCTGTCAGTCATTTCGAGCATCTCAGCTCAACTCCCTTGAGTGAATCCCTCTCTTTCTCACCATAAACTCTTTTTCTGGATCCCAAATGACTAAGTCTGCATCGTGACCTGGAATGAGACTCCCTTTTTGGTTGTCAAGGCGACAGAGTCGAGCAGGTTCTTTACACAAGAGTCTTACTGCATCAGAATATGAAAATCCTCTTTTAGAAGCTGATGTCCAGAACAACGAGAGACCTATTGGTTAACAGCAAGATGAATGGAAATTTTAGTAACGCCAATTACATTTTTGCTAACTCGCAATATATGAAACACTCTTTGAATTTGATCATTTAATCTTACAGAACCATAGATTTCTCTTTTAATAAATTGATCATAAAATTGTATCTAATCCCAGTTGCAATAACAGTTAATACATTTCACAGTTCAGAGTGGAAAAAGTATGTGAACCTGATTAACCTGGTCTTTAATAATGTTCGCACAATAAACGTTAGCACAAAAACATTATTAATAAATTATTCATGGAACTAGAGAAGAATTAAACGGAATGTTTCCTTAATGTTTTTCATAACCAAGAAAAAACATTTTACAACTTGACGTTTTGAATGTTCAGAGAACATTCAGAAATAACATATTCATATCTTAATTTGAACATTACTAAAATGTTATTTGTAAAACTTTCTGTTGTATTTTTGTTTGCTGGGTAACTGGTTGACCCTGTTTTGGCAGGAACCTATACAGCAAACTGTAATTGCTGATCAGACCTTGAATTTTAAATTCAGTAATATGCTTTGGATGTTAAAGAGGTCAGGACTCTGACCGGGTCACTCCAGAAGGCTTATTTTCTTCTGCTGATCTCATTCTGTTATTGATTTTACTCCTGGTCTTTGGGTCGTTGTCCTGTTGCATCACCCAACTTCTGTTACACTTCAATTGGAAGACAAAAGTCTCTGCAAAATGTCCTGATAAACTTGGGCTTGAGCTTTCCGAGCAGTCCAGGACATGAAACTGCAAAGTAGCTCCAAACAATGATGTTTAGGATGAGGTTTTGATGTTAGTGTGCTGTGTCGTTTTCCTTAGCATTGTGAGTCTTTTGCAAACAGCTTCGGTTTCATGTGTCCGATAAATTTTGTCAGTGTTGCTGTTGAACACCCATGTTTGTGTTTTGTTTCAGCAGACTTTTGTCAATTTGTCAATTTATGTGATTTGATGAAGATGTATGACCAATTCATGCGGAAATCCACACTAATCCCATACTTTATTCCTGTGACTATAGATCTTTTGTAAGTTAGATCAAATCTGGGACTTGACTCCTGAACGTCAGTTTCTTAAGAGTTAATCATTAGTCTGATAAACTGTTGGTGGACCACTGTGGCACACCGGACTTTGGCCATCATAAGACATACAGCGTGTGAATGTATGAACGTATTGGCCACAATGACAGCCTACCAAACTGCAGAGAAGAGATCCCTCCCCACGCCTGTGTGAAATCGCCTCTGTCCAAACACTTCAGGTCAGGTGTGCACGGTGAATGATCTGACACAACCATATCAATCTCCCCAGCTTTGAGTGCAGACCACAAGAGCTCCTGACAAAGAAACAGATTCATTACTAATAGTTAGAATGCACTAAAATCACGGTTCGTGGAAGTTCATGGGACAATCAGAAAATAGTTCAGAAATAGTTCACCCAAAATTAAAATTCTGTCATTATTTAGTCAATCTCATGTTGTTGCGAACCTGTATCACTTTCTTTTGTGGAACATTTTGAAGAAGGGTGCAATTTTCAATGCAGTTGGTGCAAAAGCACCATAATAAATGTGTTAAAATCAATAAATAAAGTCCACCTTGTGCTCTTTATTACAAGTATTCTAAAAACATAACTTTTTTTTTGCTTTCTATTTAAAGGGATAGTTCAACTGAAAATGAAAATTCTATCATTAATTACTCACTTAATTACTCACCCTCATGTCGTTTCAAATCCAAACCCGTAAGACTTATTACTTATTAAGATTATCTTCCCCTTCAGTGGGCTGTCAGTCAGGGACTTGAACTCAAGAACCAGATCAGTCCCATTTGTAAATGAATTTCGACGGATTTTGTGAATTGAATCAACTGATTCATTAAAGGGTTAGGTCACCCAAAAATGAAAATTCTCTCATCAATTACTCACCCTCATGTCGTCCCAAACCCGGAACACAAATGAAGATCTTTTTGATGAAATCTGATTGATTTCTGTACCTCCATAGACAGCCTATGCAACAGACACTTTGACGCTTCAAAAAGTTCATAAAGAATCCATAACACACGAGAATGAATCTAATTGGTTCTCACACGTCAAGCGAACATGCTTGAGCTTCCGTTTACCATAATGGATGTGTGAGTTTTTGTTTATATGTGAATAAAAGCCTAAATTCAATCTGTTCATCATTTAAAGCAATCGTGTCTCTTCAGAAAAGTTTGGACTAAACCGCACAATTCATATGGATTAGTTTTACGATCTTTTTATGAACTTTTTGAAGCGTCAAAGTGTCTGTTGCATAGGCTGTCTATGGAGGGACAGAAAGCTCTCAGATTTCATCAAAAAGATCTTCATTTGTGTTCCGGGTTTGGGACGACATGAGGGTGAGTAATTGATGAGAGAATTTTCATTTTTGGGTGACCTAACCCTTTAATGAATCAGTTGATTCAATTCACAAAATCTGTCGAAATTCATTTACAAATGGGACTGATCTGGTTCTTGAGTTCAAGTCCCTGACTGACAGCCCACTGAAGGGGAATGTAAATTTCAGTCTGTTCCTCTCACAAAGCCATTGCATGATTTCAGAAGACTTGAAATATAGTGCATGATTCTTTTATGATTATGTTTTTACATCCTTTTTTGGTGCTTATTATTTGTAATAGCATGGAGGAAATGACAGTGTGTGTATTCTTCAAAATGTCTGTTTTAGTGTTCCACACAAGAAAGTAATTTATTTTTAGGTGAACTATTACTTAAACAAGTTGTAGTGTAAATTTTATGGAATCTGTAAAATTGCTTGACCAACTTTTTTTGATCAGCTATTTCTTTCAACCAGTTTCTTTCAAACTGTTTCATT